ATTATAACCTTTAAAATACATGCTACTGATCACCTCTACGAACAATTTTAGTGTCATGAAATTTAAAAAAGACAGAATCCAAAAATTGGCACAAATTCAGCTGACTGTTCCTTATTTGTGGCACACTTGAACAAATCTCTGAAAATCCCATGTCCCACAAAAGAACTTCTTCAAAGTTGATAAATTCTAGTATTACCCCTAAATATCCATACATGTACAAACTGATTTTCAGAAAAGTAGGTGTAACGTTAGTAGTTACTTTCTTCACGGTGGGTACATTTTCAAAGCGTTCATTTTGCACTTAAAAAAAAATAAAATGGAAAACAGGTCAATAGACCTACATACAGTACGTGATTGATGTAATTGCAAAGGCTTTGGAACTCAGTACAGTATACAGTGACAGTAGCAAGTGTGTGAACTCGACAGTTTTGTCATGTACGATGCAGGCCAATGTAGGCCTCCATGATCGTGGATGTAAGCCTATTGAAAGGTAGACCCGTAAACAGGGCCCGAAGTATACTGCTACGTCAATATACTGGGCCCTGTCTGATTCACAGCGATTTCTTTCAAAAATTTTAACCGGGATATCCGGGGGAACTAAATACATGTATCTACTTGAGTTTATTATGAGCTGAAATTACACCGGAATGTTCCCTACTTATGGGGTGAACTATCCCCTAGGATACTAATTACAGAAAACTTGCCTTTTCTCATTTGGAGGAAACAATTGTGCCTTTTTGTTGCTGTTTTCCCACTCAGATGAATTTTCCCCCACTTGCACAAAACTGACGTCTCTTTCATGTAACGTCACAGAGTGCAAGCTGCGCTACCAATGATTTGCTGCAAGCAGTGTGTGACTGGACAGGGAACCAGCCAAGGGCGTTGCGTATTAGCTGCACATGTCAGTATAGGATTATAGTAAATATAGTGCACATGCAATGTTAGAATTCTGGAAATGCTTATATGCCAAAGTTTGTCGGTCTGACAAGAAAGGATTTTGCCTTCTCATCTGTGGTACTTATCAATGATGCATCCTGGCCTTCCAAAATTACAAGGCCAGGTATCTCATGCACATGTTAGTTCATGTAAATTTACATGAACAGTACGTGCAATGTTTGAATTTGGAAATATGTGTACTTTAACACAGGTATATTTAAGTGTGTCGAAAACTAGCTTGGAAGATTTTTATTCATGCTGCAGCCATGTGCCTACCTTCCAGAGTTGAAGAGACCGAGTTGACTTGGGACCAAGTTGACCTGAGACGGAGTTAACTCGGAGCGAGTTGACTCCAGACCAAGTTGGTGACTTCACACTGATGAGTATACAGTGTGTTTACATTGCCATGTTTCGCCAAACCATAAAGGCAATTTGTATAGTCTAAGTTCCTTAGACTATTATAAACTGATTAACATCATCCTGATACAGTCGCATCAAATATCATTTCAAAAATTCAAATATGCACATCATGTCTAAGTGAAGTTGGGCTGCACTCAGAAAAAAATTCTTTTTGACCTTGTTGGGCTAATATTATGGGATGGCCTAGTATTGCAGCACATTATCACACCTGACTTGCTTGGGAGGGATAAATAATTTGCAAGATGTGTGCAAATCAAAGTGGGCATAGGCCTACTAAAGTTACTCATGTCATTTTCACAGAAATGGGCCATGCATGTACATGTACTGTAGGCATACCTAGTGTTGATCCTAGTCCTACTCCTAGAATTACCCAGGTATCAAGCCAATATGGGAACCAAATGGGTCCAATGTGGGGCCCCAAGGATTGAGCTGTGGTATTTCCAAGGTAAGGAGAATGCATGAATAAAAAGTATTACCTTCAGGCAAACAAATTCTCAGTTTTGAGTGGTGGATCCATGGCAACAAACAGTGTGATATTTAACCATATTGCAAAACACGGTTCATATCAAACCTGCGTAATGCGCTATTCTGACACAACGCATTGCGCTATTTTTACACTAAAAGCAAACGCACATCTACATGACTGTAAATTCAAAAGTGGCGTGGTTGCTCATGCTGATCATCACACGTTTAAATGCACGTACAATTCTAACAATTTCCTTTCTTACCTGTAGTATACATGGTATAAGCCCTGTTGTTATTGAATTAAGTTAAAACACAAATAATTTCCAGCGTGTGAAGTGGCATCCATATATTGAACTCTTTCCCAGAATCATGCTGAATGAATTATTTCCAATGTCTTAGCATATGATAATCCAATGAACATTTCATTGTGCTTTTCAGTTCTGTGAAAAAAACGCTAAAGTGTAACCTGGGCCTCTATACAAGTACTATACAAGTGAAGCACCATCTAAATGTGACATGGTTGTAGCATGGAGGTAGGAAAAGACAGATTTCATGAAAGTTTTGCTCTACACTCTGTTGGCCAGCCATCAAATGAACAAATCTCACGTGCTTTGGATACCAGTCCCATAATTCCTACCACTCGCGCTAAGATTATGTAGAGAGACGTCTGGGAAAACTGTGGTCAGGGAACCACACTAACACGTATCGGCTCGACCATTTTGCAAGCGGGGACGCGGCGCGATGTCAGGGCGCGGAGGGCTTGTACACGCTGCGTTGTCAAGCTAGCTGTTTACACACGTTTAAAAATGTTTGAGAAATATGTACTTCATGGAGTGACAATATTTTGCGACCATTTGGTTGTGAAGTTGTGAGACTAATAAAGTTTCTGTTTTCCACGCAATTCGGGGATTTATTTATTGCAAAACATAGAGCAACCTATAATGTATCAGTAAAAGTGCATACCGCCCTCTGTTGTTGACAATCAAGGTGACCTGGAGGCGGTCACGGTCACCCCAGTGCAAGTTGAAAACGACTGTCTCGTGTCTTGTGAAAGTCTTGTTCAAAGTCTGTTTCATAGCTGCCTGTCAGTAGATAACATTACACCTACACTCCATGGCAAAATAGAGCAATCTGGAGGGCCCCGTTTGGTCCAATACTTTCAGAAATACAAGCTGATAGTCCTGCCCCTGCCATCCACCTTTTTAACAAACCACCCAGTCCACGTGCCATATGGCAGAGAATTTCACAGTCTATAAAACGTAATTTGGTACGCACAGGCAATTTTGGACCTATTTACTGGCCTGCAACCTTTAGCAGTTTGTCTCTTGTGAATATAGCGCCCTGTACTTTTAAGACTACTGCTATTCGGCTGTGCCATATGATGCATATGACCCCCGCCTTTGTTTTGGTCATTGTTTGATCAGAATCTCAGGAATTCTTTACAGACTTCTGGCGGAAGGGGGATGTGTTACCAACTGATGAAACGTATTTTTGTCTTCTTATTAACACCCAAATATGTCATGTCTAAATTTACTAACACATCCTCACGTCTTCGTTTCAAAAATAAACACCCCACCCTGGTCAAGCATGTGGTACACGTGCGACGAAAATGCAAAAGCAGTCGAAACTTCAAACTCTCGGCTCGGCCCGATTTTTCCTGCTCAAGCAGCAGCGTCTTACGGCACATCTTCGTCGGCTGATATCCTGTTGAAGAGCCTTCCACACGTGCTCCAATCACAATACAATTAAAATGACAGAACATGTTTATTCCCTACAACATACCTGCAGAGCAATCCGGCGGCAAATAACAATCACAAGGTGGATAAAGTCCGTTATGAATAATTAAGTAGATTTTTTTGGGGGGAGGGCAGTTTAAATTTATTCATAAGCCCAAAAATAATCTCTATAACATCAAGTACAGTGAACCAGAGCAATAAGCATAAAGTTATATATAAATTCAAGTATTTTTTATATCAATGGGCTAGGTCCACCCGCATTCCATCGTACAATGACGCCATAATAACATCACGAATTACAATTACAAGTCAAAGTTGAAAAGGATTTTAAAATCAGTTTAATCCTTTCGAAGTGAAATTTTATAATTTAATGGCACTTGCCGCTATTTCGAGAAATAAATGACAGTGTTATTAAACTTCGATACCGGAATTATCGAAATAAAACTTGAACAGCATGACTTTTTTCCATTTTGTTCTACATTTGATCATATAAAAATCTCTTAAAAGGAATGCCACAATAAAAAATGAAACCTCCATGAAAAAGAAGCCCTCTATAACGCCACATTTGTAGCTTGACCTGTCAAATATTATGACTAAAGCACTAAAAAATCCGAAAATTGTGTCAATATTTTTGCATAAACGACAGTATTACACTAAATTATCCAATTTCGAGCAGCAAATGACCTACCCAACCCGAAGTTAGGTTAACATAATGAACGATGGGCCAAAGACGGTTCAATTTAATTAAGAGATTCAAATTAATGAAATAAGAGGCAAACGTTTCATGTGTTACATGCAATTAGCAAAATATGGTTTGACAGCTACTGCATTTAAAGTTCACACACTAAGTTACATTTAAGTTTACTATTACTTGACCGAATATTATTTTCCTTTTGGGGACTGCAGACAAAGTGTCTTACCCAAGGACACAAGCTGGACTCTGCCGCACTGCATGTAGCATTCACACCGTATATCATAAGATTGGTGGTTCCTGACCACGAGGCCACGGCACTCCAAGAATAAATAGCTAGCTAGAGGTGAGCAGCAAATCTGCCGTTGTTGGGGAACCGTTTCAAACTCATGGGTGCAAGGTTGTAACTGGGCGTTGCTCCTGTGGCTAACTCGCTAAGGATTCTTCCCGCTGCTGGCGCTAACTTGAAGCCATGCCCTGGTGAAAGATTGTAACAAAAACAGCAACCTCAACAGTGCTTTATTCACAAAACATTTATTTTATGCTGTCACTCAGTTTACAGTCTCGAGTGAAATCCTGCGCAGATACACGGCAGCAAAAATAAATTATTTACTGGTTGTAAAGCACCGTTCAATTTACGTACAGAACACTACACAATGATCTACCATTCAAATATTGTATTTGGGTGACAAGCCAGATATTAAGCTTACCGGAAAATCCGCATCCAATCACGATGTTAGGGTGATCAGGGTGTCTGTCTAATATAAATTCTTCGTCGGGTGTATGCTACAAAAGACAATGAATAGAGAAGTATCGTAGATGCCGACACTAAAGCAAGGATATCAATATATAGATATTATTCCATACAGGGTGGTAGTAGAGGTCTGTTTTACAATACGGCTGTTTCACAATAGTGCGCCACCATACCAAGAGTTTGCCACGCAATGGCCATTCACAATCCGAGAAATTTGTCGACCCAATGCGCGTTTGGAAAGGGTCGTCAAATTTCGCGCGTTATGATTGGCCAACGCGTTGCAAACTCTTGGTGGCGCACTATTGTGAATCGCCCGTATTCTCATTAATGTCAGTTCCGGTAAGTTCCGAAATAAACGTTGCCCCTAGTTCTTTTCTGTATTATGTTTATTATGATTCGGACCGTATGCCATATTTGAAATTACGGAATACTCACAGTATATAGGCAGTTTTCAACGATAGCAGGTTCTGGATTTAGACCTGGCACGTGTTCCTTAATGAATCGTTTTAGTGTTTCCAGGTTGTGCGAGTGTTGTGTCTGGTTGCGAGTAGCCGGATCTTGCAGTTCGTCACCATGATGATTGCACACCTGAAATATTTTAAAAACTGGAATTTCGTCTTCAACAAATCCATTCAAATTACTTTACAATAAAAAACTGGCAGGAAAACCCTTGCCGGCATTCCTTAGTGCTGTAACCTAAATGCCAAAAATGCAATAGATGTTGAATTTATTTTAATTTAACATAATTTAGATGTGATGAGTAAAGTAACCAAGACAGAGTCCTCAACCTTAATATATTTTGATCACAACGAACAAAAGGGGGAAAGGTACGGTAAATACCGGTATACTACAGGGGAACCAGTGAATTTTGACAAGGAAATGGGTCCTCACCAGTCCTCATCTTTGCCAGAAATTGGGGGATTGGGAAAGGTAAGGGTATGACTTGCCCGGCCATGAAAATTTGAAAATGGGGGAAGTGACAACATACGTATGACTCTATTATTGTCGATGTCCATGATGTTGATGTAAATCAGCACGATGCATTCAGAATGGCATATTTATGGCTTTTTAAAAATTGTTTTCCCTATACTGAATGCATTTTAGTCGTAGGAAGTCTGACAAAGTCTTTTTAATCCGGTTTAATTTTTTACTCACCACCAAAAAGTGGGGAGGGATATAAACCCCTATCCCCCATGGTCCTTACGGAGGTGTTAACAGAAAAAAGTGACCTTATACTGAACTGTGGTCACAGTATGGGCTCCGTATGGGCCCTGAGCTGGACCAGAAGAAGACGCAGTTTTCCGAGCAACGGAGGCTCTTTTTGAAGTAACTGCGCATCGGTGGTTCACAAACTACTATGAAACGCAAGCGTTGCAGTCGCAGCGCTACCATCAAATGAACGCTCACAACCAACATGGCTCTTTTCAACCGATGAGGGTGTGCTTCTGCTCAGGGCGGATATAATACGTGCAAGATTAACAAGAGACTTTCCTTTCTTGAGGCCATATTGAGACTACATACGATATCGTAAGAAAGGACCCCGGCACTAATTTTGCTCCCTGTAAACTTTTCTTGATATCGTTTTGCTAACCATTCGCATTTGTGTGAAACGTCAATCATGCAACCTCCATCCCGTGGGTGTGATCTTTCTGCTGGGTCACTAATTGCTTAAAAAGTACCTGGTTACAAGTACTGGTGTAAGATTTCGTATTTTACGATATGGTACATCCTGGCGGACTCTACCAAAATTAAACAATAAAGAAATAATAATGAAAGACCACCACAACATTACAGCATTGTACTGCAGGGTACATCATTTCAGAAATACGGGTGAGAAGTTTTTAAAGCATTCTTTGTAATTTACCTTGAATAATCCAGGGTATTCTTCACTGGGCAACCCGTATGTCTCGTATTTCTCAGAGAGATAGTAGAAGCATGGACGGTCGGAGAACATACCAGGCTGTTTCTCTGGCCAGTAACACACCTTAATTTGAGATACCTTACAGTAATAAAAAGAATGGGAATTATCGAAACATACACAATTTTCAGTCAATCAGCTCACGAACGACTGAAAAGGAAAGCAAAGAAGTGAAAGCGACGGATGAAATGGTGTTCATTAGTAACCTACTTAGTAAGATATGAGACTATGAAACTAGCTTACTTCAAGGTGTGTTTTTAGTGCGTGATTTTAAAGAGATGGGCAAGAATTCTTTGGGTATCTGTGGGCCTACATTAATTACTCTTTTCCATCGGAATTTGAACATTTTGACTCCATCATTTGCATGAGAAGAATCTTGTTTTATGGTCTTGCGCACGAGTAATGTTGTCACCTGCAGCTGAAGTTTACGCAAACTATAGCGCAAAGTATCTTCAGACTTCATTCTGCAGGCCATTTCTGTGCGCTTCTTATCTGAAAATGCACTTATGAACGAAAGTATTCTCCTAGGATTCTCAGCACGAAAACTGTAACCGTTCGTAACAGAAAGGTGGCCGATGATGTCAGGCGAAAGGCGGACATGGCGTTTACGTGCCGACCCAGCCTCGCTGTTAATGGTGAGGCTTGACCTTTGCTAGGCGTTATTGACATACCTTCAAGGGAGGGTCAATTCCTAAAGGTTTGAGTATCTTCTTGGCCCAGGCTCCCGGGGTTAGGACCACACTCTCAGCTGTGTACCGCCCTCTGCTGGTTATGATGGACACATGTTCGCCAGGGACGATTTGCAAAACCTCTTCGTTTTCTTTAATTATTCCTCCTTGTTTCACAAACATTCTCTGATTGACAACAGAAACGTGCTTGATTTGAGTTTTTTTCTGAATTCACGATCAACAGTGAATAGCCTGGTAAAAATATTCAGTTTCATCAAAGAAAAAATGTCTGCAAGTGAAAAATGAAAAGGATTGCAAAATCAGAATCAATCCTTTTAAGATTATTCATTATTTTGCTATCAATTTAGAAAAGTGGCCGCATGTTCCCTGCGTGCACAATATGAAAAACAATCTCAAGCGTTGATTACACCGTTTTTATAAATTCCAAGGTGACAAAAAATAAACTTGTATATGACACACCTGTAAAGCTTCGAGGCATCGGTCAGCTCTTAACACTCCACCGTTAGGATCTATGAAGGCCTTTGCTTCCGAGCCGAAGCGGAACCCGGGGTAGCGCCGGTGAACTTGCTGGATCGTCACAAATTCACACGGCTTGCCCATGGCTTTCAGGAGCTTGCTGCGACGCGCATAGTCTCGGTAAGGTGGTTCATTTACAGACAGTAAGCCAACGTTTCTTTTAAAGAAGAAAAGAATAAAGGGAACCCAGTGGCCTGTTTGCAAAGGTATGTTAGAGAAGGGTTTGATCCAGCATATAGCTCCACGCTGTTTTACGCTGATGCTGCGTACGTTTTGAACTTCAGTTTCAATGCCAAATAGTGTGTCAGATATGAATTGCCCCCTTTCAGTGTGTGCTCCAATTTGGGGAACTGCGGAAACTAAACTGAGAAACCGAGTAAGGGGTATGTTTGATAAAAATACGTATGTGTAAAGAGTCAAGCCTGTTGTTCAACCTCTAGTATTTATCTAACTTTGATTACAAGATGAAAATATAAGAGACAAAGAATAGCAGCCCCTTGACGTAATCACTGTATTCCAGGAATCTCAGATACTCATTCTTGGAAGACTTAGGCCTATAGGTGGGTTGGAAGGACAAAATGCTTATTACTCCTCGAAGGACCAAACATCTGGGGCTAGAGTAGACCCGTCTTTACCATCAAATACTTCTTGAGCTGCAATATTATCAATAACACCGATAAGGTTCTTTCGGCAGGAGGCCATATTTGTACACACCTGTAAAGAGTGGTACCCGTTTCTCGTTCCAGCCGTTCCCACGCCTGGAAGCACTCCAGCATCATGTCAGCGTAATGTTTCTGCTGATACGCGTAGCGAGTGATGCGGGAGTGACCATGGGAGCTGCCCTTGTTGTGTCCGAGCTTGAACTTTTGGGGATTTAAGTTGACAAAATTACCCAAGTCTAAAGGACATACTTTGTGTTATGCAAGCCAGGCTTGACAACAGACCACTTGGTGAATAGAAAATCGACGCATAGCATTGTAATGTCGGTATGTGCATGCACAACTAGGTACGTAAAATGCATTACAATGACAGCGGAGCGTCTGTTGAGAGACCCAAAGATATGGAGAACAATTTAGGGTTAAATTTATAATACCAAGTGTGGATATGGGCACACTGAAGGCGAGTGCTCCGGCCCCTGCCGCCGCGGCCTGGCGAAATGAAAGGTCACTTTCCTTCTCGGATAACCCATATAATTATTTCAATTTGTGCGGAATCATTTGTACATATCAGTGCCAACTTTATGGGAAACCTTTGCTGAGAATTTCACATTACCACCGTAGGGTCGATAATGATAGACGGCCGAAGTGAATACGTCACGCGCCCAATATTATGCGTGTAAAAGGCATTAGCACGAGAACCACGTGAACCAACAACACGCGTTTACTCCTTTCGTTTGCATGGCACTTCCGGGTTTTAAATGACGTCACATTCGGTAATCTACAGGCATGAAGAAATGCTGGTCTGGGGACCATTTACCTGTAGCGGCTGTACATTACATGCATAATAACCTATAATCGCACGTCTCAACATTGAACTCACACCACCAATGACTATGCACAATCTATCAGCCAAACAAAATATGGCAGATTGCCAACAAAACCAAAAAAGGGGCGAGGTTTTCTCTATACAAACGGGCTGCACCACTGTTGTCGAATAAGTTGAGCCTCAACGCCTAGCGACGTACACGCACTACATGCTCGTGCATCAGATAGGGGTTTGCTACTGGGTCATGAAAACACATGTACGTAGATGTGCCCTGGTGATTCCTTTGTTGAGGGGACCATTTTTCTTTGTTAAAAAATTTGCGACCAAATTGTATGCAAGTGTATTTAGAACATGGTAAGAAAAATATACCTGTAATTCGTGCGTAGGGATTACTGGTACTATTTCCTACGTATACGGTTTACTTTTTCGTACGTACGGTTTGAAGGCGCCTTTTTGTACGTTGTTTGGATGCATTGCGTACACGATGCGTTTATGCGTTTTACTTTCACGGACACCAAAATTGACGCCATTAACATAAAGGCACCTTTCCATATGCGCGTCAACAGTTGCCCCATGCGTTGCGCATCCGTTAAAGTCGCTCCTTGGGCGATTGTGATGTCACGGCCGAACGCAACGCACACGTTTGTTAATTTAATGGATTCGATTCAGAGTATCCAGAAAATGTACACATGGAAAGGCGCCTTAACACAAGTATGCGTTGCATTTGACCGTATAAATCGCCCTGGGACCGATTTGACGGATACCCAACGCTTGCCGTAAGTCTTAACATGCATATGCCTTTACCATTTGGTACGTGTAGATTACTATTTCGAATACAGTTTCGTGATAAAACGATATTAGGCAATGGCCGCATTCGAAAATCTCGCCTTGAGCAGAAGCACCCCATCATAGGTTGAAAAAGCCGTGTTAGTAGGAAGTGATCATTTTGCTTTGAGACGACGCGTATGCAACGCATGAGTTGAGGTTGATTTCGTACCAAAGGAGCCTCCGTTGCTAAGGAAATCGCATCTTCTCTTTGTCCCGCTTAGGGCCGAATGAATTGAAGTATATTGTATAATGGACTGCAGTATGCGGATTACTATCCGCACATACGGTTTAGTAACTTGCAAGTACGAAATAGTAATCCGTACGTACGAATTTTTTTCTTTTCATGTGCTAAATACACTTCCATATTATATGGCACGTGCATTATGTAGTTTATTTTGTAGTCGTACAAAAAATTACAGTTCTGCTGAGTCACCTGTTCGAGCAGCAGTGTCTTGCAACCGATTTTCGTCAGCTGATAGCCGGCTGCAGAACCTTCCACACCTGCTCCAACCACAATGCAATCATAGTGACAGGCCATATTCATACTGCTATCGTTATGGTTTACATTATTTTGCATCACGTCAAGGTGGAAACAAACGCCGTACAAGAGTGTGCGAGAGATCGCCTTCAAGATGACACTTGGGTGCAGTAAACTAACCGGCAAGTGGTTACCTGTACATGTCACTACAGGATTCAACTCATGATGGATTTAAAAACAATTATGCATGTTCATGTGGGCCTATACACGAGCAAACGAACACTAACTAAGCTGTTAAGTTCGTGTCGTACATTTCACAAGACAAACATACCCGCATTCAGCAGTACTTTTTTACGACAGGATTTGTTAAGAAGCAGATGGTGGGGCCTACCATATAGGCTGCAGTACACTAATTCAAGTGATGACTTCCGCCTAGCTCATTAACGTGAAAGAGGGGGGAATGGACTGGGGGGTTAGAAAAACAGTAATGATTGAGGTTGCATCCACGTGCCAAAAATCTGTCCGAGCTCATAAACAAAAGTTCTCACACTCAAGATACTCTGAACCAGAAAGTTCTAGGAGCCATGTAATTGGTGAGTTGAAGAAATATGGCACGGAACCTCTGTCCCGGACCTAGAAATACCCATTCTGAGCAATTTGGATGCAATGGGGTCTGAAAGTGGCACTATTTGGCCGTTTTGCAGATGGATGCTTTTTCAAAATGGCTACTCATTTCTAGTTTAGGAAATATCTTCGTTTCAGCGTTGGTCTGCTGTGGGTGGGAATTTCTCAAAAAGCCATTGGTCAACCGACCAAAATGTGTAAGGAAAATGAATGACGATGTGTTGATTGTCTTGTTTGTGCAGCTTGAGTGTTTTTGAAAGAATTTTGAAGTATTGGGATTTGTCACTGGTGTCTGGGGTGAAACCTAAAACGGCTGCTACTCAATCGGGAAAGCGCCCTCTTGAGGCGTTTGGGAGTATTTTAGTAGCATGTACGGCTGGTGTGACAACATTAAGACCACAGTCCATTGACATTGAGTCTTTCTGATAACGTGATACTGCCTTTTATTTAATACAGAAGTGGAAATGTTTAACAAATGGGAACAGAGATAGGCTCGTTATCCTTTTTTGAGGCAAAACAAAGGTTGAGGAATAGGGATGACAAAAATAAATGTCTACATAAAAAATGCGTTTTTAGGACTTCCATGAAGAACACAAAGCACGGAGCTAATATTCCTACAAGTACCCCGAATAAGGAAAATGGGTGGAAGAAATGAGGTTCGGCTGGTTCAATATTTTCTCCTGTGTGCCACATCGAGATGACCTTAAAACGATTGTTTCCAAAGTCACCACTGAGCGATCCGTGTGAGTAGGGTGACAGGTTTGCCCTGTCGCTCCGGTAACGGTGGCCATAACTGGACGCCGAGGGGGCCGTTTGTGACCAAACCTGCACTATGGGGTTCTACCCTCAAGGAGTACAGCACTCTCTACAGGGGGATAATTATCAAATAGTTCACCAGGAGGGGGACCTGTCACGTAATAGGATTCATCGATTTGAGGGTAAAATTTAATTACTTTGGGCATGTTTTTGACGCTGTGGGTTGGATAACTGCACTGTACATGATGGGAATATTCTCTTTGAACACCGCATGCACTAAACCATGATTCAAAACCCCAATTTTTTTCAGAGAAATACATAATTTTGACTTTTTAAAAAGGCGATCTCCGCGCAGGTTGCATAAAATCGGGACAATAATTTTCTTTTGCTGTGAATGCTTGATCCCCTTAGTGATGAGGCGGATCCCGGGATTAGTATGGGCTGAAGTCGCCTCTGGTTTTGTTAGAGTTATTCCCCGCCTCCTCCAATATGGTCCCGTGGCTAATCCTGACCTGGTGCTTGCAGATTTCATGGAGGTAGGTCTGCTCTTAAATCTGCCCCCACCGCCCTCTGGGCGAGCTGGGAAGGGCAACTAAGGATGTATAACGAAGTTTTTTAGATAAGCATTCATTGGACATAACAACACCACGGGTCGACACTTCCGCGTGCACGGATGAGGGCACAGATATAATAAACGCATAGAGGGCCAGTCATGGGCAAAAATGCAGCGCGTCCGGTGCACATTACGCGCAACGCACTTACATCGCCTGCATTTGTCTACATGTGCTTTCAAATAGGCCTACGTTCACCTTTTTTGCTCTTCGGTACTACTGTCTCTTTTTTTTCAATGTTGATACCGCATTGTTTTGAATCCCTTTGGGCCAGATTAAGTAAAGAGAGGGTTTTTTACTTTCTAAAAATTATGGAGCTCTGGAAGTGCCATCCGACACGTTGATATCCTGACATCAAAGTTTTTTTCTCAGGATAACGACATGATACAGGCAAGATGTTCACAACCAGAGCTAATTTATCTTGAGATGACGACATCATAAAAATTGGATGGCGACAGCCTGCGATAATTTATCATAGGAAGGCGACATCAGAACAATTGGATGACGACATCCTGAAATAATTTAGTATGGGATGACAACATCGTAAAAGGGCTGACATCACCCTTGCTGGATGTCGTCATCCCATGATAAATTATCGCAGGATGTCAACGTCTTGCTTTTATTATGCTGTCGATTATCCCGCAAAAAAATGTCAAGATCTCAACAAGTCGGATGACACTTCCAGAACTCCGTAAAAAATGGCTTCCCAGAATTTTTTTGGCTGGAATTCTTCAACTGTGCGTAAATTCCCTATATCGAGGGCTGAATTTGCCCATAGCTTTGATTTTAGTCGGAAGCCACGCAGATCAAGAAAAACCCCTGTAGTTTTGAATAGGATCTGGCGGTCTATGCGGGCAGCAAGACAAAAGTAACCCACAATGCTCTGCTCGTCAGACTGTGGCGGGATATCTGCACAAATTTCTGCGAGCGGTGCCGTATTGCCTTTCTTGGCGCCCTGCAAGGATAGTGGGGACCAGCGAAGTTTTGCCCCCTCCCAAAGGATAGCCTCCACGCAACGTGGATTGCTATCAGCCCCACCCTACTCCGTTTCTGCTGTTTTCAGATTCACGTTTGGTGGTTTTGCTTAATTTTTGTCTCCCCCCTTTTCCCGTTGACATTTCGAAGCCTGTAGTGAGGTTTCGACGGAGTTGGCTCATTTACACCATGCTGACTAAATGAGATCAGCAGTTGCCACTCTTTTAAAATTTCAGAACAAAATCAGACGCAAAAGCTGCATCAACACGAAAAATATTCATAATAAAGGGGACTGTTGCTCCTTGAATATCATCATTTTGTTACAAATTCTAAAGATGGCACCGTGGGTTTTGTTAATATTTACGTATAATCTCCAATGCAACACCACCCTGTTGTTAGACCTATTCATTTCTCTCTGATTTTCATTTAGTAGTGCAGATATTTATTTCCTTGGATCGTTTTTTTTTTGTTTTGGTCAGGAGCTGTTCACTTTGGCCCCGCGCTTTCATCAGGCCATGCACACAAATAATTCTCGCAACAGACATTTATTGATCCTTTATTATTATTTTCAGACTGTTTTGAATGTGCCAACACTGTAATAACACAAACGAAGGGAACTTTACGACGGTGCCCGTTGTTGCGGTAGGAAATGTTATTTTCACTAGGAGTTCACCTGCATGTCGGAAGGGCTCAAAAAGGCTGATGAATTCAATGCAGTTATATACGAGCCTGTTTCATGATCACACGATTCCCCATCAAACTGCATTAAATGGCAAAAGGAAAATGCCCGATAACACAACAGTCGTCGGTTGGCAATATAAATAGCTTTAAAAGTCGCAGAGCAACACAGAAGTTATTTTTTCCCCCACCGATTCCAGGGTTTTGAAAAAAGATTACCCATTTACCTAACTTCGACTTAAGCCAACTAGTCAAAACAATTTCGCGCGGTTTTCTTCTTTGTCAGGTTGAACAGTTGAACTGTAAGTAAATGGGTCATCCCTCTTATTTTGATAGGGGAGAGCTTGCCGAATAAAAGGGCTTTATCCTCAAGGTGTTGATTTAATGGTGGAAGTGCCCGTACTGTGAATCTAAATTGGGAAGCCAGTTTTTTTTTTCGTGAATATAGGCAGCTTCCAAAAACATCCTCTAACCAATGACCTGTTGTATGAATGATTATATAGACATTTTCGTACGGGAAAGTCGTGTTCCAAACTTGAGCCCTTTAATTTGGCTGTACTGCCGTGACCCAAGACACAGTTATTGTTACACCGTGCACGATTGGTTGCTTAGCGCCGTTGGCGGGGTACTTCATTAAGAAACTTCGTTGAGTTTCGATACAAACTGGTAAGTTTTCTCCTCTTGCTATAGATACGCAAGGGGTTTTTCTTTTGGAAACGGAAAAGGGGGCCGGGTGTAACAACATGTGTAAACGATACTGAGACGATGCTGAAAGATACGGGCGTTTCAGAATAGTGCGCTTCCGAGAGTTTGCAACGCATCTGCCAATCACAAGGCGCGAAATCTGTCGACCCATGCCCGTTTGGAAAGGTTCGTCAGATTTCGTGCGTTGTGATTGGCCAACGCGTCGCAAGCTCTCGGAGGCGCACTATTGTGAATCGCCAGTATTCAGGGCATCTAATGAGGTTGACCTTCAAGGGGAAATAAGGTTGACAAACCTTGGAGGAGTTTAAACTGTGTGCCTGCAGTATTACCAATACCTTCGAGTAAAAACTCTTTACCTGCATATTTGGCCCAAAGAAAATCAAATTACACGCCTAGGCTTTTGATTTTTGACATAATAGAAGCAACAGTATCTTATTCCTCAGCAACAGCAAAATCCCTCATAATGGAAAATGTTATCGGCTGCAGTGCTCCCGGCAAACTGATTATAAACTGGCTTTGCATTCACACGAGAACTCTGTCGACCCTTTCCAAATGCGCATTGGGTCGACAGATTTGGCGCGTCGTGATTGGCCAACGCGTCTCAAACTCTTAGAGGCGCACTTCTGTGAATCGCTATTCAATGGGACTTCTGAATAAGACCGAAGTCCGTGTTATGACGCATTATAATTTCTGATTTGGAATTCCAATTGGAATTCCATTTAGTGCAGTTTTTGAACGACAAAAGTATTATGCGTTTGCATAGCAGGATTCAACAAACATGCAAACATGCAATTCGTTTGGACATAGCCTAATCCCAAAGCAGATAAACATGCAAGCCACATTATACAACTCGATACTTTGAGCACACGCCCCTCGTAAGAGTAACAGAGGTGGGAGTTTGGCATTTGGCGTGAGGTCTCGTTGCTAGATAGGATTACCGACCGTGCATTCCATTCCTGTATTAAGAACAATATTAATTGCTCGAGGTTGATTTGAGATGATGTGCCGCAAGTGTACGGCATTTCATCTCAGGCTGCATCAGTAGGCTATCCTTACTTTGGAAGTATTACAGAGGAAGCGGCTGTTGAAGAAAATTTATGAAGGTAGGTCAAGTTGAGTTTGAATTCAACGGTGATTCAGAATAATAATATGTGTGCTTAAAAAGCTTAAAATGATTCCCCCAATTTAAAAACGTGAGGCCACACGTCCCCTTCCCCATGTGACACTGAATCCCCGCCGTGGTCAAGGTTAAGGCTATTTCATACTTTGACCGTGGGGAACTGGCGCACTACCACGCCATTACGTTGGGCCTGAGGTCAGTGGGAGAAAAGGCCCACAGGAAGTGCCTTACTAGTGTGAAACATACACTGACTGCATGGAGAAATAGTACTAGTCGGATTCTTGAAAAGTGTGCACCTTTCAACGTATTACCCCTAAGACATTTCCAAGCAGTGGGTAACAAAACACAGATTTTTTTGGAGATGGAAGATATCGGTATCTGTTCACACAATCCCAGTCCTTTCCTGTGAATTTCCTTGATATCTGCAGGTCTCCCAGAAAGTCTGCATCTCGTTGTGGTTAAAACAATGCAATGTAAAAGGCAAACATGGGTGATTCAAAACACGGTCTTTCTGCGGTCGTTAAGAAAGCTTTCCCACATGAGGATTGTGATCACCATGAAAAGGCCGAGAATTTAAATGTGTCTGTTTCGGCGCGGATAATAATGACATCAAAGACCCTCGAATAAAAAGAAACAGTCACTCAATACAATTAGTAATAAATACTTCTTGAAAATGTTCGTCACAAGAAAAACTTCATAATATAACCTGCCGATAGTTTCAACATGTTTTGCAAACAAACATTTCAGGGGGTCCTTCCAAAAATGGTCAGGCAAAGTCAGCCTTATCTCCCAAGCAGTCTTCTACAACACAAGTGTAGTGATATTTTATAAGAAAGATAGGATGTCAAAGCTAGGAAATAAACTTACCACTTCGGGTGATGTAGATAAACGTAGTCACCACGACAAACTACTGCATGACGAATGAGAATTTCCATTTGGCTGTAACTGAAATTATCAAAATTACACGCACATAAATCGAGAATGTACTTGATTTCACAAAGGAAATAAGACCTATGGGCATTAACATACCAACAGATATCACGACAAGACGAAGCTTCATTCATTTCCAGTTATAAGAACAAAGAGCATGCATTTAACTGTCGATCATTTTAAATAATTTCTAATTCGTAAATGTTGATTCTGTATGCGCGACGCAGTAAGGTATGTTGTGTGGATGCGTAATTATTGATGTGTTGAAGGCTCCTTTGATGTCTTGTCTATAGACTGCATTTTGAGTTGAAGCATAGATATCATCAATGAATATGTTTCAAATTGAAAAAAATCTGACAAAATGTATTCATGTTACGCACTGCCTCATCACAAGACGTAACTTAAATTTTTTTTTTCTGTTTCATTAACTAGTAAGTGTCTGTTCAAAGCCACATGACATTTTGTATAAGCTGTGAGAGCCAATGGAACAATTGCAGTTGCACATGCAAACTATAGGCTTGAGTTTCTCCTCTGCCCACGATGACCATTGTCTCAAGTCTCATAGACATGAAAGCTGACACTTGGAAGGTACAGGCATGCGGCGCAATATCTGACAGACAAACAATACCCTCACACCGTAGGGCATGATTGCAGACCTCACATTACGTCGGATCTTAATAACCGTAGCGATGTGTACCACTTGATGGAGAAGGTATCAACTGGGTGTTAACCTTTTACGAGAGCACTGTTGATGTTAAAAATGGAACCCCGGGCCTCACACACGCCATTTTAACAGTACACGGGTAGGCCTACGTGCTGGCTGCACAGGGAGAGCAATTTCATTACGGCAATGGAATTCCAACTCCAGCGGGCCGTCCCGAGGTTGGACGCGGGAATAGCAACAGCGGGAACGGCGCCGTCAGTGTGACGGTGCACGCTGGCTGAACTTTCTGCCTACTCAGTTTTGTTTACTGTTTGAGGCATGGAACCGCCTCTTTGAGTGTGGAAGTGCTGAGGCATGCATAATTCATTCAGCATCGAATTCGTTCTATCCTCAATACTACTTCGCCTACCTTGTAACATAACTCTTGCAGAAACGCACAACTCAATCGAGCACCTAACTTGTGACACATGAAAAAAAAATTGAATCGATATTTGTCAAATCTGCCACTATTTTACTTTAAAATTTCAAATGTGCGCAGTTGTTACAGTGCAATAATTCTTGCCGTCGTTGTTGCCGAGAGCTCCCAGTCAGAAAGCATTGAAATCAAACGGTCAATTTGGGCTAATCATTCGCTCATGTCCACCGTTAGGGGGTCGGCTCCGAGACACTCTTCTCCTCCATTCATCCCCCACAATGATCCCAATCCAATCGAATTAAACGTGAAATCCCTTGCCAAAAGGGTGGACCCAGGGGGTTTAAGGTTTCTACGACTACGAGGGTCAAAATATTGTGTTCGAGATTGGCATTGTTCCCAAGTTGGAATTTTGCGCTGCCGCCTTCGGGAAATTTTTTTCCTGTCCTTGCGGTGTTGTTCCCCTAGATGTTTTGGCTGGGACTGCGTTTCAATAAAGGCCTCCTCGCTCCATCTGATAAAAGGAACAAAGACGAACCAAGCTCTAAATACCCAGGGGAACGAATAACTCAACAATAATTTTCTTTTGCAAATCCAAGTAACAGAATTCTATTTTAAGCCGACATCTGGATTATGGTGTCAGAATGTAAAGTTTCCGCTCGTAATCTAAATGTATCGCATTCTTATGTTAATGTCGAAGCTGTCCAGAACACACTAGTACAACATCAAAAATAGTTAAATGAGACTGAATGTGAATGACCTCACAAAGTCCTGAAGCACAGTTGCTTTTTAGCTAATTCAGTTATATTTTAACACTTAATTTCACATTATTTCGCTCTTCTTCATAAAAAAACAGCAATTAAACAAAATGAAACTAGAAAACAAACCACCCTTCAATTTTCTAAGATTAGCCTAATATAGGAAAATGTTGTAGCTCTCTAATTTTTTCAGCAACTGATTTGATGATACTTAAGTCCATGTTAGCAAGGTTCGCCTTATCTACACTATAAAAAGGATTGATCTCCAAGCTGGGAACGCCATTTAGAAAAAAGTTAATACGTCATGAAAATGAACACGCGAATAAACAAACTTGACGTAAACGCGGAGTTCAAACGTGTTTGACTATTGCGAATTCTCAAATTGAATGTGAAACGCCTTTTTAATAGATTCTATCTGACGGCTACAATATTTACTTCACAAAGAGTTGAAAATATCACAAATTTTCTCATGCTACAAGTTTACCTTGAAAAGTTACTCAACATGATCTCCGACAAAAGCACCCTTTAGTCTTTGTTTGTCCCCGAATATGGCTGATCAGACTTGTGACTAACCTTGTGATTGACCTGTGATTTGACTTGTGATTGACGAGATTACAAATCATAACCAATGGGAATAAATTTATATATTATAATGAATGTACGTATCAATGATTGGGGTGAAATGTAGTAGCCATTGCGCATGACAGGAGTTATTAATATTTCAGAAAATACTGATCAAAACTTTTTTCAATTTTGTTTTTATAATGTCACTGTTGGTACCTTTTGTAAAAGTGTATGTCTCTTTCTTTTAAAATCAGCAACAAAACTTGGCCACGTGCGTGTACGTGTCGTTTTCTCCATTCTAAATATAGTTTGCTATAACAGATTCTTGCAGCAATATTGACGAAGCACGCTTAATCTACAGGCTTCCACTCCCTTATATCTCAATATGCTTAGATGCGCGGCAAATGCATTATTCATAACACATACCTTCCCAAGGTTCAAGACAGCATAAATCAGAAATGGTATCCCCTGCCTCACAAGTGATTTTTTTGATTGGTAAATCATTGAAAAAAATTCAGCCGGGTGCTGGGAGTAAACAGATCTGTTACCACTCTTGTGCTCCTTCCGATCCGCTCGCGTTTGATGGAATAGCATTGAGACACGTTTGAGACATCACCGGTTTTGTTTTCACTACAGAATACACCTCAATTGCTTTCACGCCCATCGACCAATGAGGGAACAGTCAGGCCACCACTGTGAAGTTCGGCTACTAATGCCCGCCCCCATCCGTTCTCCCAGGACCGTTTACTAGGCGCTGTGAACAGAGGCAGCTGGTTCGCCGTCTAGATTCCCACAACTAAAAGTCTAGCTCCCACAACTTGAGGACATACACCCACTTGGAATTAATCACCAGAACCCAGAATTGTATGTCTCATCCTTCACAAGGCCCCCTCTCGCCGAAGAACGAAACAATGATACCCCTTTTACTGATTTGTTTGGTGTGGAGCCATCTTCTGTCGCCGGTCATAGCATCTTGCCGAGATGGGGGTCAGTTTGGGGGACCCCTCTGCTGCCAGGGTAAGGATATCAATTGCGTGGCAGAGGGGTATAGAGTCAACTCGCCCTACTACCACGAGACCTGCTTTTGCGACAAGGCGTGCGTGGATAACGGGGACTGCTGCTCCGATTACGAATCGGCCTGTCCGGGTAAGACCTTCAACTTGACGAGTTAACAGTAAGTTTGGGTGGTTGTTAAGATTTGTCGCGATTGAGAAGATGACTTGGACAGGAGAGAGACAGAAAATGCCATACGCATTAAATAATTGATTGATTTATGATGATGATGATACTGACGAGATTAAAAAAGTACAGTGATAATTAAAGATAATTGAAAATAAAGATTTTACCAGTGACGATTATCATATAGGCATTGGCAAGATTACTGCAGTGTAACGATAGTGAGAAAACTATGGCCTCGTGTTGTGCAGGGTGATGATGGAGTATATTCGTAGTTGTGACAGTATGTAATGACTTTTGTATAAAGGAAATAACAAAAACAGTATCGGTAAAAGAAGTGAAAATATTCTCGTTCATAACCTGCACGAAATATACTTCATGTTTACAACTCATTCTAATGCTGGAAAGCGAGACTTAAACCCCACTCGTTGCGATTCGCGAACTGATTTGGGCACGGGTTCGTTTTTATACTTCAGCGAGACATAAATAAATTGCCAGGAATCTTCAGTCCAGTGTGATGTTTACTCTAGGACCTTGGAGTGACTCCTAAAACGAAGCCAATGTTGAGTGCTAAACGCCATTTGTCGCCTTTTATTTAGGACCAACAATTTCCGTCTTGTCAACGGACTGTAATTTACAGTATAGTTATTATTGCTGAGTGAGGGATCCACTGAAATTCTTAAAATGTCTTTAGCCTTCATTGGCCTGCTAGGAATCTTTTGGTGGCGAATACGTCATTAGACTTTTATATACCTTTAAGCACAGAATGTGCAGCAGTAAATTTCGAATATGTCAGACAATAACGATGACGTCAGACAAGTAAATCTTAAATTAACAACTATTTCCAATATACGCAACCTTCTAATCCCTTCTAATTTCTCCTTAATCTGTTTCCTGAGCCGTGCAAACAGACATTGCACACTGGCTCCTTTTAACATGAATACTACAGCCTGGCAGCATGTACAGCTGTACAGGTGAAAGGAAAACTTGTTCGTGTGCCTTGTTTTGGGCTTGAGTGAATTGGGCCAGTTGTGTGGGGCGAAGCAAAACGTGACGAATGTGAATTCCAACACGAAATTGGATTTGCCACAGACCTAAATATTCGACCTAAAAATATCTCTTAAAATAAACTGCTTTAGTATCTAAAAATTTACCGAGGCCCACACATCCTGCCACCTGGATAGCATATTACGCATACGTAAAAATACTGCATCCAACTGCCTCCGTTCACCAGGGAAAGATTCTAGACGTTGGGAACTGTGCATCAAGTCAACCTGTTATACCAGTATACATGTAAAATGACTTAATATGAGATGCAGGCAAAAAATTTGGTAACGATCGACATCTCAATTATCTGACCAGCAGCACAGAAGTAATCCAAGCTCTAGTTTGACTTCATTACGATTGTGAACAGATGTGACCTGCGAATATGACGCCTGAACTTCGAATGAATTTGTTTTCTCCAAGTAACATTCTGAAACTTCGCAGTAGACATAAACGTTTATGCTCGTTGAACAGTCTTGGTGTAGTCGAGAACACTTAAGACCTTTACAAGACCACACAAGACCAACACAAGACCTCCAGTCTCAATTCAAGTCACAAGCTATTCAAATGAACTGCAAAAAAGCATTCCTTTGTCATTGTTCAGCCTGTTACTTGTGACTATTCTTGCGCATGGTCTTGTGCATGGCCTTGTGTCTGGTCTTGTGATGGTCTTGTGCATGGCCTGATGTCTGGTCTTGTGATGGTCTTGTGCATGGCCTTATGTCTGGTCTTGTGATGGTCTTGACTACAACACTGAGAACAATGATGAAATACAGCACTGTAGAGATTTCAGTTCAGACATTACCATGCCACGGTGATCCGGGCACATTATGCTTTCAGTAAAATCCGGTTTTGATTGGATATCTGAAAATTTGTCAACTAGAATTCCACGACGCCTGCAAGCTATTAATTTATAAAGTTAGACAAAAAATTAATGGAAGTCGTTTGTCAAGTTCTTCCTCTTGACAGTTTGCTAACGTCTTCCCCCGTGGACAGATGACACCGAACGTATTAAAAATCACAGGGGGTGGCCGGTACCACGGTCAGATAAATCCCGTGGGCGTAAGGTGAAGGCACTCTCACCGTGAAACTGTTCGAAGGCACTTTCACCTTTAATATCCAGGCACTGGATTAAAAACAGCATGGGGCTTTTTGAAGCATCCAGGATATTTCCCTTAACTTTGTTGCATGTCAAACTTAAATCAAATGATTGTTATAGCTTGGAACTATCAAACAGAGGACGGTCGGAATTATTATGTAGGCCTGCCTTTTCAAAGTTGTTTTCTGAAGCACTTTGAACCCATTTTGAAAGACATGCCTTTAAAACCTAATGTTTGGGAGAATCTTTACACTTCTACAACATTCTCCCCCAGCTCAAATGGACCTGCTGCAAATGTCGTTTTGTAGAAGCAGTCGCGCAGTGTTGTTGCAATTATATATTTCAAAGGCTTATCTTTGAGTGAAACGATAACTTTGTGGATTATCTTGTTTTCTCACCACCCACACCTTAAACTCATCCATATCTCCCTCATGCTCTGCGCGATTTGAGGTAACTTCCTATCCTTTTGTCCAAGCCATTTTTTCTCCGCAACGCCATCCTCCATTAATGCAACGAAAAATTGCGCTTTACGGATAATATAGGCAAACGCTTGTCAGCCAAAAGGGTAAAAATGGTTCGCACATACTGTTTGATTGGCTTCAAAATTATCTTGCCCACCACGCAGATTTACTGTTTGTGCTTAATAATTCAAACTGGAAATTGGAAAAAAACTCATTTTTTCCTGTTATTTTTCATTCCTTGTAGCTGTGGATTGCGAGGTCTCCTCGTGGAGTTATTGGAGCGGCTGCAGTGTGTTGTGTGGCATCGGCGTCAGCGAGCGGAGGCGCTACAAGATTAAGGACCCTGAGAATGCAGGGGAGCAGTGTCCCCCGTTTCGACAAATGAGGGCCTGCCTAGCAAGTTTCTGTGAATCTAACGAGATCCCTGCTAATGGTAATTAAAAAACAAATAAACAAACAAGCAAAACAAAAACAAAACCCGAGACTTGACATTGCTTTCTATACCTAAAATAGCCTCCAAGACTGCGCAGAAAATGTTTCTTGAAGAATGACGCAGGTCGATAAAAAATAATTTAAACAGGGTTTGTGTCATTTAATAAAAGTTCTGTACCCCTTAATTTCACGTAATCACGTACTACAATTAGATTTCAATTGTACTCAAGAAGATGAAAATGTGATGTACAAAGTACAAGTAAAAAATCAAACGAAGGCCTGAGTAAAAGCTGGAAATATCTGACTACCCTGGGGCTTTTCATGATTACTTCTCTTTTCAGGTATCGCACTCGTCCTTCCATACTCCTACAATGCAAGAAGGGACGATCCAGATTTGAATCTCATGAAGAATTTTCTCATTAGTCTGGGCCAATACAAACCGTAAGTTTTGACAACATGCACAGAATAAGCCACAACACAATTACCTAGGCTGTAGCGAGGCGCTTATTTCTTCCATACCCTTGTCTGAAGTTTTATCCCAAACTGTACATGCAGATAGATAGTATGGAAAGCGAATTTAAAGAATGCATTACATGTATAATCAATGAATACAGCGTGCAGCACTGATAAATCTAGGTATGGTGTATTCGTTCAGTGTTGCTGCCATTTTTGCAAAAGAAAGATGGCTGTTGACTGACGTGAAGGCATGCTACAATGTTGTGGTAAACGGTGGTGACAGACACTTATTCGCGAAGTCTTTTTTTCCAGTGTTTGCCAGGAGACCAAAATATTAATTTGCTTACCGCTGACATTTCTTGGTTTCTTGAATTCCACAGCTTTGACAGTTACTGCGTTTACTTCAAGGTGACAGGGAGGAACAAGAGCTGTCGCTCGAACCGAAGTAGCGTGTGGGCAAACTTTAAAAAAGGTACGCAGAACATGGCGTCCGGGCGGATAACCCCGGAGTGAAAGGAACATTCCTGACAATGTTAGGACCTTTTGTGATACTCCGACAGACAACAATTAATTCCACACATCATGTCACTATCTGCCAGCTGGTCGACATAATGCCAGCGGTTGTTTTTACGTAGAGAATGATGCACGATTGCAGTACCGACTGCATACCTTTATCTCCACTCAGAATGATCTCCCGCGTTTTCCCTCCGAAAAATGTAACGATGGCTAGATGGCGTTTAAAAATTTTGAACTTTTAAAGAAAATTACTGATTTTCAGAAAAACTGCAAATGCAGGAGACATGCCTTCGGATACAATCATACTGACGTATCAGTTTTCCGCTGTTCAGTTCACTACCTGTTTTTTACGAGTCGCGTAAACTCCTGCTGATTACCGTTCTTTAACGTCTGTAACTTTTACGAAGGACATACTGGTCGTCTGCTAGCTGACAACCCCCCCCATCGAAATCTTATCGAAAAAAATTGTGAGCTTTGGAAGTTATTATTTTATTTACATTACAAGGGAAATTACAAAATGAAATACATCTGGAGTACATCGGGTTCTTTGTTTAAGCTTTACAGTGAGGAAAAAAAATAAGATTTAGAGCCAAGTGTGATAGCACTGTTCAAAAGCTAGGCGAGTCTACGGTATGTTTGCAAGCCATTTATTCTTTGTATATCAATTATTGTTCCATTTATGTCGATTTTGTGGTTATCCGTCAGGTACGCTAGTGTGCGTGGAATGTAACCAACCAGCCTTTAATGATGAGGGACGGTGTCGCGGAGAAGGCGAGGAAGGGAAGAGGACCCGCTGGTCCTCGGTGGATCAACCTAAATGCCGGGGTCGTTGGGTTCAGACATCGGTACAGGCCAAGTGCAAGTGCAATACGGGCTCGGATTTAATATTTGTTTGAACCTCAAAATCTCCCAGTTGGGCCCACTGAGACAGTTCGGTACTATTCTAACTGTGCATGCCAAAATTTGAAGCGCGTCCGAGGTCATTAGGGAACAGCAATACGCGCGCGTCACCAGCGAGGCCATACGCCAACCGATGTGCGTACTTTGTTCTCCAATGGCCAGGGCTTATTGAAATACCCAACTGGCTCATTTCACAGGGCTGCACAGCAGCAAATGTCGCCAAACAATCTTCTGTGCTCAGAAATGAATATGCCAGGAGTCAGTCACATGAGATGCACATGCTATTGTATCTTGGTTGGTAATCTGCCTTAGCTATCAAAATGTTTTCTTTGATTGGCAAAATTTTGTACTGCTCTGTGAAACAAGCCATCCATTGGGGGAATTCACCATGAAATTGCTGCTCAGTAGTGTGTTCTTTGGAAGATAAAAGGTCCATCCAATGTATTCCTTATAATACAGTCTGTCAAAGTGCATTTTGTTTCTCATTTAAATTATCCTCATTCAAAATTTTCACTTTTGCTTTAAGGCGTTTTGGTGCCATGTAGTTTTTTTACCCAAATCACAGATTTGCATATTCATTGGCAACAGTGTATTATGACATTCAATGAAGACACGCAAGATTGGCCACATCTTGAATATTTTGCCGTCTTAAATTTTGTTTTTGGTGACTCGTTTTTGTTTCATTACACGACAGAAGGCCAATAAGCAAAGTTTTTTGACAAATTTGGGGTTCCCAGTAGAGACGTATCTGGGGTACCATTTGCAGGGGGCACTTGGGGGAGGGGATCTCATTTCTGGAGGGGGCGCTCAATGGGTTTAGCTACACTTCATACACTGAAGCACACCATCACCTCTACTGGGGGGGGGGCAAAGGCCTCGAGTCAGGGGGAGGGGGCCGATGCCCCATAGTTACGCCACTGGTTCCTAATTTAAACAGGAAACCCCCTAATAAACACATTCCTTCAATGACAACACTGCAACAGTGCCCTCATCGGTCAAGAAAGCATGGAAAATGTTTAAAAGGGTAATTTTCAATAAAACGTCAATCCAAAGGGCCTCTCAAACAGCATTCAAAGAGGAAAAATTGCAAAAACAAACCCAAAATACAGTTCATGTTATATAAACCTTTAAAGCTTTCTTAACTTGCATTTCTTTGTGTTGTGATTGAATTATTTGCACTTCTCTAAGGTCCAGTAAGTTAGCTGCGTGAGCCTTCGCCCTTTCCAAGCCTGAAGATCTGAATGTCAACAATCAGAAAATTCCTCAAACATCAAATATTATACATCCCTGAAGTTTTTATATGTTTGGTTTTCAGAGTGCAAGTCCACTTTTAAACCCTTTCAATGTATGCAACTCCAAATTCTGCTGCTGTCTTCGTATTTCTATCAACTTACTTCAAATTCTTCCAGAACGATGGTTACGTAATCAATCTGTGCAGAGAGTCTTCAAGTCAAATTCTGGGAAGAATTCCAGAAATCTTACAGACACCGAAATCAAAGTTCTCCAACTGACAAAGTACATGCTTGATGCAAAAATAGAATTCAAAATGGAACCTCATCCTGTTAAAAAGAGCAAACATGAAAAATGGATTTTTATCTGTCTCTCACAAGGAGTCATTTTTATAGCTGAATAATCGTACATAATAATATCTGGCACAAATTATACCTCAAAATTTAAGACAAACTATTATAACAAATTTCCAGACTAACATTATACAAAACATCTAAATGCTGCTACCTTTGATGGAGTATAATTTTTTTGTGGTGTAGGCAATGATACAGACAGCTTGTATATAGTGTTATTAAGAATAACAAGTGGTGCGTTTGTATTTTAATAACCACTGAAAACGGCTTATTAGTGTGGAATTCAATTAATTTGAATGAGAATGCAAGAATGAGATCAAGGTTGCTTCTAGAACTGAAATGTGATCACGTTCACCTTTAGGTAGCAGACAATTGTAAAATGTAATCATCTTATATGAACGTCTTCTTTGATTATCTTGTATAAACTTTCTAGAATTTTAGCAATGTCAAATCCTAGAATTTTAGCAATTTCATGAATTAGCTAGTCAAAGAATACAGGCAATACCCTCACTGCATGTTCTGCCTCCAGCGTACACAAACAACTTTGGTTCACAGCTGAATGGGCATCCAATTGTTTTGGACATAAGCTTTACTGAAAGCCAAAAAAACAGTCTTGAGAATTCCAAATGGCAATTTTTGTGAGAAAGTAGTTTAACTGGAAAAAACCTAGCTAATTACAAGAAAGACAACCTCCAATTAGACATGACAGAAACATAGCATACTAAATCATACCACTTTACTCAGCTACTGCAAATTTCATAATAATAAAAATAGTGTATCATGGTTTTAATTATAGCACAGAAAACAAGTTGAAACCCAACTCAAATAGACTTCCACATTCTTTGTGAAAACAATTAAAATTGGAGACATATTCGTTTAAACAGTTTTCAATGCCTACAAAATCAAAAATCTGAGGTCAGTAGTGATCACGAATGTACATAGAGAAACTCAAGCAGTGTAAAAACGATACATGCAGCAGCAGTTGCACAGCATCCCCTTTTCCACTTTACTATTCTTGTTGACAAGTCTTTAGTTTTTAATTTGGTGTTCGCTGAAATTAAGTCTAACATGCTTATTTTGCTAATATCAATTTCAAATGGTAAGCTTTCTTTCCCTGTGAGGCTGTGTAATAAACTGAGAAAAACACTTCTGATTTCCTTCTCTTTTGAGACAAGTGTGAATTTTTCTACAATTTTCATTTTTGTCTTATGGTCACTTGTCCTGTGATCTGGTATCACAGCACTTTGAAATTCTGTACTTAGATAGGACCCTGAAAATGTGCTCAGCCAAGAATTTTCCAATTAATTTACTTCAATAAGGTTTGTCCTACTGCATTTCAAGTTGAAGCAAAACAACAAAAACTGATCAGCAAGAATTTACAGCTAAAGGAGTGCAACACAGGTCTAAATGCAACTGTTCAGTTCTAGGCAAAAAATCTGGATTTAGGATGAAGTACACCAGCATGCCTCATGCTCAATTAATACATAATGTAAAATAAGATTCCATTATTAAGCTATTTCTGCACCTTATGGTCAAACTAGTATCGTGCTGAAGTACACCGAGTTATTACATATACATTTATGCCATACTTTGATTTTTTACAAAGCTATTTTATAGGCAGGTACAAAAAAGCCACTACATTAGTTACGGAATGTTAAACACTTGCAACCAACCTACTCACATTAATTATACTTCATCAAGTAACAATTGCTTCCTAACCCCACCTTACAGGAGACAGAATGAATTGATCCCCTATGGGCTATACAAAAATATCACACCCACCCTAAAATATATAATGGTCCAACCTTTAGCTATGGCGATTAGGCCAATCCATTCCATTCCCGAGGGTTGTCCTATTTCCACTTCTGTAAAAACCGCAATCAATTTTCCAGACACAGAAGTTTCCATTCTAATCTAATCTAATGAATACAAATGTACTTCCTCTTTTGACTAAGGCTACTTCTTCAACAGATTTACCAATTTACCTACCCTACCGAGTTTCTGTCTTCACCTTTATATAAAACTGTGCCATTAAGCATTAGTTTACAATGACAGACACTTTATCTGGCTTATACACATTTTCTGACAAATACAACACAGAGATTACAGTGATCCATTTTTTCTTTAAATTTTACTTGTACTTGCTTCAGCAAGTCTTGTTTTTCCTGTCTTTTTTTCTACATGTAGTTGAACAGGTCTATATGATTAAACTATCAATAAAGTTGAGCATAGTTAAAAAGAAAAAAAGAAATTAACATCAAAATCTGTTCATTTTCTAATTGGCTGAGCACATTCAACGGGTTTCCTGACTGATTTCTTTGTTTCTTGCAGACTTAGATGACAATCTGAATGTTACCACGTGCACTTACTTGCAAATATCCCCAAGCCGACAAAGAAGGAAAAAACGTGAATGACCATGAGACGTACAGCTATACAATGAAGACATTGAACAGAGCAAGTTGTCTTTGGTCTTGTAAGTGGAGGAAGGATTGGCATAGAACTTCTTATGTACAAGAGAAGGAAAGAGCAGGTGCTACACTGGCATACATGATAACCGTCCATGAGCCAGGCAAAGAGTTAGCAACTAAAGTAGCCAGGGTGGATCTCAATCAGTGCTCCCGTCGCTACTTCGCTCCATCCATTAGGCGGGGTTTGGTGCCTGTGAACCAACAACGGATCACTGGTCGCGATCTAGATCCGCGGCAAACAAACTGGCACCAAGCACACAACACATGGCTGATCACAGATAATTGGAGGCCAAAAGCTGCAAAGCACACAATTTTACTGAGTCCCCAAGGTAACAAAAAACAAGATCTGTAAAATTGAGGACCATTTTTATGCAGACCTGAAAACTGCCAAGTCTAACACTCCTTTATGCTCAACACCCCAATACTTAATTGTAAGGATTTTAAAAAATTGTGCAAACACGGGAAAAATGACCCCCCCCCAAAAAAAGTATCTTGCCTACTTGAGTTCATGACTGAAAACTGTAGAAGCAAGGCAGGTTTCTGTAAGGCATTGCTAGTTTCGGTAAGCATTGCTAAATAGTATACAACCAGTTGTACACACAAATGCAAAATAAAAACAAATCTCAATGTGGCAATGTCAGATACATTTTGGGCATTTTTTTTTTTTAAATTTTTGCTTTATTGGTGAGGCCCATTTGTCAGCAATGGACCACACAATATGCCAGAAATTATTATATAGCTCTATACTAGGGATGTACAGTCAAAACACAAACTCCAGACAAAGACATAAAAGCCACTTCCGCTTTCCTTCTCCCCCCTGTTTTCAAGTTCTCTACAAACAATTCCTGCGCTTTCTCACAATTTTCAAAGGTGTTCCAACATCAGCTCGGTATGCTGTTCAATGGGTCTGAGCGTTTCCCTTACACAGAAGAGCTGAATCAATCAATTTGAGCTGCCAGGACACTGCAACTATTTCTAGATCTGGAACACAGCAATCATCTCTCAGAATTTTGACATTTCTGATCAGGTACTAAATCCACACCGCTGGGATACTTCATCGCCCTTTTTTTTTCTCAAACTTTGCTCGAACAGGGTTGTTGTTGAGATCAAGGACCGTGCAAGGGAAGGTTGGATGGGCCTTTAAGTCTTCCTCCGGACTCTATTATTAATACACACTTCATTGATTCACATGCCATAGTAACCCGGTTGCGGACCCATCATCCCACCCCCTGGCACGGCGCCCATCTGTGGGGGCATCATCATGCCCGGCCCTGCGGTCAGCATCAGCTGGGGTTCATCTGAGAAGGTTGTGGTTGAAGGACGGTGATGAGCAGAGAGATGGAGGGGGAAGGAAGAACAAAAATCCACGGGGGTTATTTGAATCTATCAAGTGGTAAAAACTTGGAGACATTGATTGTGATAGTGGTTTTGCTGTAGGGTTTAACCCTATTTGTACTGTTTGTTGGAGTGGGTACATGCTGAGAGAGGTACAAAATATTGTAAGAGCCATTGGTTGTGCAGATATTTGACGGGTACACATTACATCTGACCCATGATTCCAAAAGCAGGGCTTTTCCAGAGCAATTTCTTGGCGGCACCATGATGCAGTGATCAAGCGCTTTGTGTTCCATGGGAAACACGTCTGATATCATGGCCTAAAGTTACTGCTTCCACGGGAGATTTGGTACAGTGCACTGTGGAATGCCCAAACACCTGGGACCAAGAAATCACCACCGAGGCCTGAAATCCCCACAGGTGTGTTTTAAACACACTGCAGCATTAGATGTATGCACATTCTGTATGGCTGCTGACAAGAATGCTAATGAGGAAACAGGGATTATAAACTTAGAAGTGACTTACTGTACACCAAGGGCTGATTTGTGTCGCTCTCCTCAGCTCGCTCCTTTTCTGAAGCTGCCAACTTGTCAACCTAGTGGCAGAAGGGTTTCATGAAAAGAACTGTCATTAAACTACACGCCACTGTAAACAACCTGCTGATATACATCAGTGTTTAGTTCAGGATGTACGACTGGGTCCAGAAAACCAGGGCTGATTACTGCAGTCGCTAGAGAGCAGGATTTTACCAGAAGACGAAATGGACGACCAGAATGTAAAATGCAAGGATGTCACGCTTTGTTCAAACGTGCCCTTTCCAATGGGAGCCAGGTGGGGACAACAAATTCAAAGCTCCACAGAAAGTGTACACGAGAACCAAGTGTGACTTCATATGTGCACAGACCTAAGGTATGTCACTCTAACATACCTAACAAAATTACCCATTCCATACATGAACTACGTGTAAATATCTATGAATGGCATGCTTATAAGAAGCAAGAACACATCGCATGTGTGTACTGGTATATTGCTTTAACCACTTCCTGCTGGCCATGCTGGATCCAGACACGTATGCTTTATATGCGTGGCCGGGGTCTCCCAACTTGGACAAAGGGAACAGGGCCTTGTAACAAAAGACCATACTCGGAACAAAAGACCAGGCTGCTGGGCATTACCGACATTTTTTACTCTCAAAAGTGGAGATAATCCAGCCTTGTTTTGAAACAGTATACCACGGTTTAGGGCATTTGGAGCGAGCCGATTACCACCGGGGACAAAAGTGCTCTACCACTGCAGGGATGAGCCACACAGCACTGCTGCACGCTAATCTGGCCTCTATTGAAAAGAGGTCAGAAGTGCACTGAGCCAGGTTCGCGAACAAAAGAAAGCTGTATAACATCGCACAATCTGGGCTCTTTTTACAAGGCTGCAGGCCTGGCTGAAATACTCAGGAGTCAATAGATTTTGTCTGTCAGGCTAGAGGGGCCACCAGACACGTGTTCACCTTCACGTGTTTGTAAGTGTCCAGTAAATGAAGACAGGAATTTGTAGAGAATTTTGAAAACAGAAAAAAATTATAAATACCCCGGCAACATTGATAACAACACTGACAACTGCCTCGGCAGGAAGTGGTTAAGCAAACAGGTGGATCTTCACCAGAATGTTCTCAAAACCACAGCACATTAACGTGAGAATACATTCAGGAGTGGCCATACAGAGGCTGTGTTGCTTAACTTATGAACTAGTTGTATATACTACATTTTAATGTCAAAGGTAGGTCTTTGTATGATGTTCCCTGCAGTCTCCAACTCAGAGAGTGGACAACACCTCACCTTTGACAGGTACTCTCTCATGACCTGGACCATGTAGGGCATGGCAAAATCCATGATATTGTGACGCCAGGACAGCTCCAGTATGACGTCTGGGTTCAGCAGGTCGTAGCAGTTGAACAGGGAGGCGCTGAAGCACTCGTGAAGGCCCTGGTCCAGGAACCAGGCGATCAGCTCCTCCGCGGTCTCTGTCTCCCTGGACTCGCTGGCGTATTGCATGGCATCCTGCAACCGGCAGGGAGGAACTGACAGATAAGGCCAGGAGCACATTTTGCAACAAAGGAATATGCAAAGTACACATAATTACCTGCTCAGGAAATGACAGATCCGGGGGTCAAAGTGCCATGCAATGCTTATTTCTTTTCTGTGGTTCTATGCTAGTTTTTTGTACAACACAGACATGTGCAAAGCAATGCCTTGTATTCAGCAGCTCCAAACAAATTAGAAGAACGACAGAATAACCACACAAAATGTTCAGTGATTTACTGCAAGCAATGGGCACATAACTTTAAGATGCATTGAAATGTTCGAGCCACATTGTAAAATTGTATTGAAATTGGAGGATTGAGGAGGGAGTCCCAGACTGCTTCATAAAAAGGGTGATGAAGGCACTCTCTTGTCACTATTCTGATTAATGAGTGACCAATGACTTGCACCTTGTGAGGGAATATAATTGATGTTTTAAACGCTTGGAACAAAAAGCCAGCATCACTGCTACATGGTAACAGTTTCTGGGCACTAAATTAACTCCTTACCCTCTGGTTCCATTCAAGACTAACAGTAAAGGTAATCTGATAGCATTAATGTATGTTTTATGGAAGTGTAGTTCATTTTGACTAGTCACCTGATTTACATAAATATAAAAATGCAATAAAAATCTGCACAAAAATACAACAGTGATATTCGTGGAATTGGCCAACCTCTTAGACCATGTCTACGGTACTTGAAAAGGGGTACAAATGTTCATGGAAACATTGCTCATACAAAAATCTAGAATTATAGGCAATAAGGGCATTTCACAACAGTGCTCCTCCAAGAGTTTGCAACGCACTGGGCAAATTCTTGGAGGCGCACTACTGTCAATCGCCCGTATTAATGCTGAACAATGACAAGATACACTGCAACTGGATTAATGTGCAAAGTTTTCACTAGGGTAATCTAAACCCAGCAGAGAAAAGTCCTGAAAGTGATAACAATGAAATTATTGTTTTCTTGCTAGCCAAAGTGTAAGAGCAGTTCAAATTGACAGAAGTTTTAAAATTTTCCCCAATCATGCCAATTCAATAAGACTCTATCTGATTTACACTACATCTTGAAAGCTTGGGCTACCACTCAAGAACAAGAAGGGGAAAAAAACAAGAATGAAAATACCTGAAACTGACAATTATGTAAAAGAGAGAGTACTTACAGAACACAATGCAGACAGCACTTTCCACAAGCAACATGAAACACATGCCATTAAGTAGGAAAAGCAGGACTCAAGGTTTACAGGACCATGCTCGTGCTATTTCTGCCTTGCCAGACAATGCACCAATTGATCAGAGTGCAAGGACCACACAGGTATGTGTTAGTCATCTAGGCCGTGCAAAAGGCGTTAGTGAGCTGGAGGTTAGGAAAATTGGCTGGGCTGAAACTGCTACAGGGTTCCCGAAATTTCCTGAAAACACAATTTCCCCAGATGGATTTTGAAAATTCCAGGATAATTATTCCGACACATAATCAGGCTGACACATCTTCAGTGTTGTTGAAAACATGTCAGACGTGAACAAGATATAACAGACTGTCCTCTTTCTCTATTAGGGCAGTCGAATTCCCTGACTTTTTTCCTGATTTGAGGCACTTTTCTTACATTCCCTGACTGGAAGAAGGAAGCTCTTTCCCAGGCTTTCCCTGATTTCCAGGACGGCTAGAGAACCCTGTGCTTCTACAGCAAGCAATCTATGCAACATGCATCTTTCATCTGAGAAATAGCTGGAAGAAATGCTACTAGCAACAGCAGCTGGGGATGCAAAGGAAGCAAGCATTGTGCTTCTACAGGGAAATCAGTACTACGACTACTTTCTGGTCCCACTGCTGTTTCATGCATCATCTTTAACTTCTGATCGGCCTCTGGATTGGAGTTTGTGATGTGAAGGTAAGTCAAAATGAAAACTTAAGATGAAGTTGTGAAAAAAATGAACAATAAAGAAAAGCACACAAATCAATTCTGCAATTATTTCAAATTGATGAATTTAGACAACGGGATTTAAAACCGTATCAACAAAAACTTCATGATCATATGCTATGGAACACGAAATGAATCAGTGCTGTTTCTGAACCCATGTACGGCCGATCAGAAATTTCAAAGCTAGACAAAAACAGTGCATTACCACTGGTGGGATAAAGTGGCATACACAAGGATTAAGAAATCCCAGCTTATATTTGAATTACGCAGCAAAGTTTAGACCTTTTCTGTCATCCACCTGTTTCACTACAGAAATGGGAGACACATTTCTTTGCCACTTTCCAAAAAACACGGTCAATCAGGAATGTAGACAAACTGAAATTTCACAAACGTATTTCGAGACCCTTGCATATGCCTCCTTTATGCCCACCAAGCAGTAATGCAAGGCCTGACTACCTAATCAGCAGCCGAGGCTAGCACGAGCATGCGACTCTCGCCGGCGACCGTGTAACGTCGCACAATGCAGAGAATACAAAAGAAAGCCCCCCCAGGGGAGGGAGTACCCTGTAAAGCTTGTCCTTCTTGCAGAGCTCGACGGCCTGCTTCCAGCGGTTGTTGCGCTTGTAGAGGTAAGCGGCAATGCGCCGGAACTCCAGCAGCTCGTGCTTCTCCAGGCGCTGGGCCAGCGCAATGTTGTCAAAGTTGTCAAAGGCGTCAATGGAAGTGCGCAGGCCCTGATAGTCCTCCTCGTCGATCAGGAGACCGTTCAGGGCATCGTTGATGGCCTGGGAGAAACATTCAAGAAAATAACGAGGACCTATTACAGTAACAGAAGGGTCAATGAAAATTGACGACAAGACCTCTGCTGACAAACTGAACTCAGAGGGGAAGTTGGGGGATGAAGTGAAATCCATGCAACATCACTGATGACTGGGGGAACAAAAACGGGAAAAGGGGGATAACGGTTACAGAATTGATGCTGACTGCTAGAACAATGTGCTTGAACTCTACTAACCAAGAAATCCATGAAGAATTTAGCAAAGAGATTACAACAGAGTCTGCGCTCAAATGCTGTGACTTTCCAGAGCTTTTAATAGCTGAAAAGGCACGAGTTCTCACAACTGGCTACTGATTATGAGGACCTAGCTACTGGGTTTTTAGTTTGAACAGAGTGTACTGATGTGGCAACACCTGGATGACTAAGCCACTAGAGTCCAGGATTATGGGGGTCTATATTCCCAAATTCCAGAAAAAAGCCTCAGAAATCACATCCCTGTGACAAAGATTGTGGCGAACTCTGGTGCTCGTAAGAATGTATTTGTCACTTCTTTCAGAAAACTCTGATAGCACCAACATTAATTCAATTCAATCATCATTGGAGACCTGGATAAAACCCCCCCGGACGACAGGTTACGTGGGATCTCTCACCTTGTTGTTGTGATTCTGCACCTGTCGCAAGTAGGGCTTGACCAAGGGCAGTTGATTCAGCTTGGTGAAGAGGCTGACGGCGCGAGTGTGGTCCATGCGAGGGATAAGCACCGTCAGCAGGTCGTTCAGCATCATGGGCTTGTAGTCCAGGTAGAACTGGATGCTCTTATAATACAGCTCGATGTTGGCAACCTGAGGAGATGAAGATACATTCAGTTTTGACGAGAGAGAGTGAGAAAAGAAAAGGCAGACGGTACGCAAAATGGGTGCGCAATCAATTTTTGTTACCTCTGCCACAACCATTTTTATTCTGAGCGCCTTGTCCGGCGAATTTTAGTGAGCACCCTCAAAAGTTGATGCCTTTGTTAAATTTTGTAGGCTTTGTGACACATTTGCCCAAATGGGTGAATCCAAACATGTAAATTAAAGGTGCACTTGTGTCTTTGTTACCCTGTAACAATGGTTATAAAAAGAGGACAATCTTCCAAACTGCAGTCATATACCTTGGTGATGATGTCCTTGAACTGTGCCTCCTTCCAAGCATCAGTGGGGTGGGCCATCATGGTCACTACAGCATTATCATACTCCTCGTACTTGTCATACAGGAACACAAGCTCCGCCCACAGATGGGCGTGCTCAGCTGCCCTCAACACCTGTTGCAAACACAGCAACACAGTGAGGTTTGAAGAATCTCAATTCTCAACATTATTTTTCTTTTTAACTTTGGGAATCTTAAGGCCTTTACCTGTAACAGACCTGGGAGGGGACTAATGAGTGTTGTTGGCACTCCTGTCATATCACATAGGGGCAAGGCAAGTGTGTGTACATTCCATAGAAAATAGTCTGCATGCGGTCTCCAATTCTGCTCAATCTGTACGCATCAATCGGTGTCTGCACACAATGTGTTCATTCCTGCGTCATGTGAGCAGGAGGAAGCGGCACTTCTTAATCTCACTCCTGGAGCATTGTACATGTATCTCAGATCAAACTTCCAAGCAATTTTTATGTGTAATTTATGTCACGAGGAAGCCGATTTGCACTGACAGAGAGGACTTCTCTTGTCTCAACCTCTCTCATTTCATATCCAGTGACTGCTTTTGTGATGACCAATATTTGTGGAACAAAACACATTCTCAAGGTAGCTAAACCTTAAGTTTACACATGACCAGTTCGTTTTCCATACCTTTGGAATGTTGACTCTGGACCAGAAGAGTTCAAGATGTTCACGCATCTTAGAGGGCTTGTACTTAGAGTACAGGATGGCTAGCTCAGTGAACATGCCCATATGTGCACGCTCCAGACCTGTCAATAACAGAACAGTGTGTTGTAAGTTCAACCAGATTGGCTAGGTCATCATAAGATTATGATAACATAAAAACCTGGTCTAGTAATGAACAATATGTCCCGTTAGTAGAAATTGTCCAGTCACGTATCAAAACCAAGCACTTAAAAACCTCGTAAGTTTCAGTGTACCCTAGATTTTAGTGTGATTGCCGAGTGAATTCCCCGACTTTCTTTAACCAGTGTTGCAAAATTAGACTGGTCAGACACATTTCAATTTCATGATGCAAAAGGCGATCTTGTTAGCTGGTTGTCCAATGATAAGGAGGGGAGGACATCAGCTGGTTTGAATAAAAAATTGGTTCTATGTTAGAAAGTTGCCACTCCTTACCCGTTTCTCCTGAAAATCATCTACAGTGCTGATAGTGGAAAGTGCACCAATAATTTCAGCATTCGGAGGTGAAAAAGCAGGGCAACCAACCGAGGGAATGAGAAGTGGCTGCAGACAAAGTAGTTTTCCCCCCTTTCTCAACATTTAACACTTGAAAGTGAAAACTGAGGGGGGGGCGACTGGGAAAGAACGAATCTTTCATCCACGAAAAGAAAAGAAAAAAATTCTGACACTTTACCCAGGGCAGCCTCAAGGAGTTGGATGAGCTCCTCAAAGTAGCCCCGGTCCTGGTAATAGTTGATCAGTTCCTCCAGCTCATCAGCATGGACGACGATATGAAGACCACACATCTGGGCCAGACGGAACTCCTCCCCGTCCACGCAGGAGAAGCAGACCTGGGCAGTTGGAGTGAACGAAACAGTTTCACTAGGCAGAATTCAGAATTTGGGATGGGACTAGAAGTTCACACCTGTCTTAATATTAAGGGATGCATTCCCATCGCCCTGATAATTTCAGAAGGGCAAACCAACACAAACTGAGAATCAACAGGTCCACAAGATATTCATTCAATGCAGTTTGACTATCATCCTTTTGACCATGGCATTGCTGTATACATGAAAAATATACACAACTATGCTATAACAAGGGATCACCCACAACTGCCCAGAGTGCTCCTAAAGTTTAGACATGGACTGGTAAAAATATTCCATTTGATGATTTGATTTACAATGGAAACTGCCCTTATAGACAAAAACACTAGGTCTAAAATTTGTCTGGCTGTCAATCAAACACAGAATGAAGACATTTTGAAATTTCAGATTTGCTTTTTCATTGCATTTAGACGTGCCCCACTTTGTTCATTTTCAAGTTAACTTAAACTTTTGGTCCCTGGGTGTTTGCAAACCGTACCTCCTTCCATGTCCGCGTGCTGTTGGCCTTCCGGGCACTGTCCACGGCATTCTGGTACTCGCCCAGGTGCACCAGAGTGGAGGCCAGACGGGCAAAGTTGGAGACGTTGTTGTAGAGGAGCTTTGCTGCCTCGTACATGCCCTCATTGTAGCACCGATCACCAACCTAGGAAAACAGAACGGGTGGTTAAGTGAAATGGGCAGCTCCACGCCACCACAGATATGATTCAAAAGTTTCTACTTCTGCTTCCTGTCATTTCAATAGGTGTCTTTGAAAGCCTGAAGTCAGGAGTATTACCACACTTGGGCACAATGACCTTTCCCTTTTCCCCTACCGATACAGCAATTTTCGTCCAACTTCAACATCAAAGTATCTCAAGTTGGCAACGACGAATTTCAAATCGCATCGGCACAAAAGTGTTTTGGGAAGTCTAGTTGATGTCTGCAATGGCATTATTTGGGACAGCCAATCAAATTTAGCAAACAAAATTTTTCGCTGGTGTTTTTTGTTCCATATGCTTAAAGAAAAGCACCCCATAATGTGGAAGTTGCAGGCTGCTAGAACAGGCTGTGTGATTGGTCAGATTGCAAGAGATTTGTGACGTAATAGCCTGTCCAAATATGGCAATACTCCAGGCAGTATATAACCAGATCCCACAACATACGTCTTAAGGCCGTTTTATCAGTTGTCTGGTTTTAGTTTGCATTAGAAAGAACAAATTGAGCTATACGCTTTGAAGTATAACTCATTTTGGCAACGTGATGAATACGAAAATCACATGCATGTGGGCTAAAACTACGGGCAGATTCTGTTAAGTTACATTGTAACAGATTCTTTTAAAGGCCTGGCTGCGGTAACTTGTGACTCATTTTGTTGGGTTGATCACATTAGTTCAGCATACTTCATGTAAATTTTTTTCTGTGCTGCAGGCCCAGCTTTCTTACCTGTTGGATCTGGGCGTGGTTGGGTCCCGAGATGAACTCTTCCAGGTCGGCCAGGCGGTTCGTCTTGGCAAAGGCAAAGATGAGCTCCGTCTCTACGAAGGAATCCCTGGCCTTCTTACGGGCCATCTGCAGGTAGCGTACCAGGTCTTCCCAGTTGCCTGACGTGAGATTAAGCAAAACCTATTGATTCAACCAAGCATAATAGCAAATGCGCCTACAGGAACACCGTTGCTATGCTGCAGTGTAACCTCAATCCTGCAAATATTGAAAGTCCTTGAGCTGATGTATCAAAGGTCATTATTCGATCTGTTACTAAAATGCTAAAAGTGATACTTCCAAATTCAAAATGTTGATGTATAACTCACTTTATTACACAGAAAACAGGTCCCTTACAACTGCTGAATGCCAGCAGCTGAAAAAATTGGTCACCTCCGACTCATGCTTGGTTAAATCATAAACAAGAAGGATATTTCAGGACACATAGGACTTCTGACAGAATTTTTTCACCTGTGATGGTATAAACAGGAAATCAAATGTGATATCAGCTATTCAGGGAGGCTGCACACCTGCAGATGTAGTGGTTGCAAATTACAACATCTCAAGAACAACCTGACTTGCATGGACACTTTCTGGAAATTCCTCCTTAAATTGAGATGAAAGCTTGCAAGAATGACTAACGCTTTAACCGCACCTGAAGATATCTTAGATCTACATCTGTGCAATTTTATTAAACACAACCGTTTGGTCAATCAGGCATCTGACGTCCGAGCACAGAGGAAGCCATTTCATTGGTCATCCTCCCCTTACCTGACGCAGAGGCGGCATCCACCACCTCGGTGTACGTGGAGGGGTCATCAGCCTTGATGTAGGAGTCGATGGCCTCCTTCACCAGTCCAGCTTTCATCTGTGCCATGGCCAGCTGGCTCCAGACCGAGGGCTCGTTGCAACGCTCGGCAAATTCGTAGGCACGGTCCAGGTTGCATATATGCTCAATCAGAACCTGTGCAAGACAATTACAATGGGGGCATGCGTTCACAGTGAACTCCCTACAAATTCTCACTAGAGACCCACCCCCCTTCCTGAATCATCCAGAATCCTCCACTTTGAAGGAAACTGACAGCATGTTCCTAGTAGCTGAACTTTCAAGGGCATCAAACCCTAAAGTAACAGCAATACAGTGGGTGCTTTCTACTCGATCCTTTGAAACCTTCCAAACCGCCTTCAGATTTTGAAATGCACTGCAGCTAATTGTTAAGTAACACTTTCATCCTTGTAAAGGCTTCAGTTGAGAGTCAACTGTTTCTTTTCAGAGCGTCCCCCAATTACCAAAGAAATCTGTTACATGGAGTCATCACAACCTTGTTTCTGTTAATTTTATCTTTGCTGGATGTATAGATCTTGTTTCTCTTATGAACTGGACTAAAGAGACCATTCATGGAGTCTGACCTGGATGGCAGAGGTGTTCACGTCAAACTTCTTGAAGATGGCAAAGGCTTCCTCGTACAGCTCGCTGCCGATGGCAATGTTAGCGATGTCAGGTGCATCGTAGTTGTCCAGACGGTTGATGTACTCCATGACGCGGCTCCTGTCGGCCTTGATGGCAGTCAGGATCAGCAGGTTCTGGAGGTTTCTACAGGTCAGAATAGGGCAAAGAATGGATTTCTGACTACTACAAAGTTCACTCAAGGGGACCATCAATGATACAAGCATGGGAACACCCACACCTAAACCTTCAGAGAGGACTTAGAAATACTGTGAATTGATTGTGCACACGGTAGATGGTCTTGGCGACATGAAATACTCAGGGTGGTGGACTCTCTCATGCAAAGCACACCACGTGTCAGCACCACTGCTGAGAGGAATACTGCCATGCTGCTTTATGCATGTCATCCGCTCTGTTGTTGCTTTAGACACAAGCCAAGCAAGTTACATTTTCGGTAACACGTGTGTGGTTCTTTTTCATTTCAAATTTAATTTTCAGACAAAATATGTCAATCTTTGTCATACTGACCAACCACCTTCTAAAAAGAAAAGAAACAAGCCTAATGGGGACTGGTGCACCTTCAATATCTAAGCAACTGCCAGAAATTCCTTATCTACTCAAAAAAAAGGGACAAATCACAAGAGAATATTTCCAACTGTTCACCTTCATATTGAAGAAACACTCTCAGGGAGATCAAAGATACAGCTGAATTCTTTGCTTACCTTATCACACAGTGTCTTTGCTATTTTTCAAAATGACATGGAATGGGAATTTCTACATACATTCAACCTATCTGCCATTCTATCCCCAAAGCTTACCTGTGGTCGCTGAATACTGAATTTTCTAGCACTATCTTCTCCAGTAATTCAATCAGTTCATTGGGCAGGTCGGCGGTCATGAAGGCTTTGACTGTCACTGAGATGTCCTCAGCGTCTTGAGTCTCTGTCAGGGCTGTTTGCACAATCTGTTTGCACAGCGAACCCAAAGAACAATCCATCAGATTTCATATCTACAGGCATACAACTTGGACTTTGACAAAAGTGAGGTAATTCCAATCTTTATGACACTTTGTACAGGGTTTCCAGTTTTCAATGGCATGAGTGTGAAGTGAAACAATGAGGAAATCAGCTGATCCGAGGAAAAGTTGCATGCCTGTACCTATCAACTAGGTACAAGACTTATGACAATTTTGTGGTCACAACTACAGCAGATGTCGGAAAGTCCCCAAACACCATGTTGGGAATATGACATTTCTATTCACTCTTCTTCAAGTAATAAAGAGGCACCGGACACCCTCTGGCTAAATATTAATGTTGGGGGAAACCACTAAACAACTCTTCTAAGCAGTGTTGGAGAGTTAACAGCATCAAAATTTTCCCATTTGCCTGTAACACCGTGAGTGTTGTAGTTGAGTCCATCAGAAATCCCTGAAAGTCCATCACAAGTCACCAAGTCATCATAGGTGACAAAAGCATTCCTTTAGCTATGGCCCTCCCCCTTTCCCCCAACAATCCCACGGGCGCTTATACCTGATCAATTAGCTGCCTGCGGTAGGGATTGTCCTCCTGGAGGACCTCGGCCCACAGCTCCTGGTCCCGGCGCTTGACCAGGTAGCGGGACTGGCTCTTGAAGAGGGAGTTCTCGTTGCAGACGTTGATGAGCTCCCGATCGCACTGGCCCCGCTCGTAGGCCACGCAGGCCAGGTGGGGGTCCCGCTTCTCGCAGTACTTGCCCACAACCCGGCTGTCGTAGTGCTGATTCTCCCTGCGTGTGGTGGGGGAGGGGAGCAAATTATTTGAGTCAAAGTTCAATGAATCTTTCCCTCAGGCACGCTTACAAAGCATGCACAATATTTACCTCTGTTCAGACAATGTGATCAGTTTTTATGTCGCAGTTTCATAATGGTGCAACCTAATCTTCACCCCTCGCAAGTAACTGTTGATACTCAGGGCTTGACAGAGTAACAGAGGGCTGAACCCCACAAACTGCCTAACAAGCTTACCGCAGGAATCTCTCAGGGTTGTTGTTGCTGTCTATGTAGATCTTGGCCAGCGCATTGTGGGTGGCAGGCTCCACACTGCCTTCATGAATGCGGGTCTCCAGCCATGGAAGCAGCAGCTTCAATCTACAAAAAAAAAAAAGGTAGCATTTATCCAAGAAAAGGCAGGGCATAAGATTGCACACGTGTCACATGTTAGGCAGTAGACCAGGCCCCTCGGGGGGCAACGCGGGTGGTGCTCAGGACTAGCGAGTACGAGACTTTCATGCTTTGCACCTGTTACTGCATTCTACACAGACAGTGCTGTTGAAGAGAGTAAAAGATCATTAAGACCAGTCGGCCTAAGAAATATGGTTGTGAGTGATGTCTGTCCTGAACCTATGCTTCATCAGGCTAAACTGTCTTTGTTTTAACCAGCATGAAACTTTAAGGGTTATTTCTCGTCCCCGATGGATGGGATGACAGTCCAATGCCAGTCCAAGTTACCCAGGCGCCAAGACAGACACAAAAGCCACAACTCATTTAAACTCCTGGGTGTAAGGGGCAAGTCTGGATCGAGTGGCTTGACCAGGGATGCAGAACTTATTGACCAGCTGGATTGAAACTCTTCCTGTTGTTCAAGTCCTAGACACCATAATGCCCCCTCATTCAGAATTTGCTACAACCTGCCCTGCTCCCTACCTGTTGCGCTTCTCCACTTCTTCCACAAGTTCGTCAGTGGAGAACTGTCCTCGCACCACCATGATGAGACTCTTGATGACATCTTCAGAGCAATCGACATCTAAGAGACCACCCACGACAACGGGCAGACGGGATGGGTTCACCTGGAAGGTTAGGAATGAGGAGCGGATGCAATTTAAGATCAATCGTCTCCAGTGGAGGCGAAAAGTGAATTACCTCTTCAGCACATTTTTCAAAACAAAACAAGCGTGGTTAAAAGAAACTCAGACTGAAACCAACTTCAGAGTCCCTCTCACCTTCTGCACGTAGATCTCAATGTACTTCTGCAGGTTGTTGCGGTACAGGTACAGCACAAGGTCGTGGACAAAGTCAAAGCGGTCACAAACGATAATGAGTGGCAGCTGGTCGGTCAGCTTGGCCTCCTTCAGGAAGTTCTTGACCCGGTCAGCATCGTAGCAGTTGCTCTCACGGCAGATACGCTCCACCTCCTTGATCTGGCCAGTTTTGCAGGCAGCCTGTGGTAAGGAACAGAAGAAGTACGACAGATCATGGAAAACTGAATGCCTTCAGGTACTTCACATATATTCTCGTCTTCTTCGATCATACATGCATTTAACTGTATTTTAATTTTGAATTCAATGGAACCGTCAGTTTAAAGCAAATATCCAGTGTAAAGCTGAGAGATAAATCAAACTCTAATTGTGCAAATCGCTGTGACAGACCCGCTGGTCAGAAACAACCTGGAAATCGTGATGGCAAACTCATATCCCACAATGCCAAACACCTCATATTGTCTTAGGCTCACAACACAAGGGACATGAATTAGCATGTACTTGTGCAACATGCAACCCAAATGTTGGTATGTTTACGAAACACTGCCCCACCGGACAAGGAGCATCATTTGTCTGACACACCAATAGGCTTTGCTCTTGGAGACATCTGAATCATGGGTACCGTAAGAAGCATACGGTAACTGATACAAACAATCCCCATCTATGCAAGATATCCCTAACACCTAGGGCAACAAGTGCTGAAAATTTGAAAGATAAAATATCATTCACACGCTTGTACCACTGAGGAAGTTGTTGCTTGCAAGAAAACTGTGCAACTACAAAACAAAATTGGGAGTTTGAAAGGAAAATAGGAAGAGAAAAACTGAACCTGAAAACTACGGACAGCACTCAAACAGCACTCAATCAATAGACACTAATGTTGGCAGTGTACCTAATGTGAATTGTTTATAACGCAAGCCGGTAACGGTGCAAAATTAGAGTTAAAATCCACCTGCAGAGTATGCTTTCTTCCCACTTTTAAGAAACATCCTCTTCTGAAGCTTTAAATATTACTACTTTGTAGGGACCCATTGTGTTTCTCCGACTGACCTGGATGTACTTGAAGTGAACATCGGCGTCCTGACTGAAGTTGACGATGGAGCCCAGGAAGTAGAACAAGCCCTCGTAGCTCTTGAAAGACTCAAAGATGTCGATCAGGGCATTGGTGGAGAGCTGCTCGTGGTACTTGGTGGCCACCTGCACACAGATCTGCAGGTTCTGGCGGATGTTGGCCGACAGCATGCCCTTGAGGCACTCCAGCGAATCCTCCACGGACAGAGAGCCAAAGTAGTTGACCAGCCACTGCAGAATGTCGAGACAGAGTCAGTGCATTGTACCACAATAAATACACGTGAATCTGTCAGAAACCAGGGTGTAGTTGGACAGATTTCTGAGAATGTGGACTCCACAACCCTGCAACATGTGCTGTCTTACACAGGTCTTGGTGACCGAATTTTGTCAGCCATGGAGAATGCACCATACATTTAATTGCAGAGGTTGTTAGGCTCAACGATCTGAGGCTGACGAAAACCTTTGTTTCATCTCACGCAATGTGAATCTTTGGTTTAGAGAAATTAATGAGGGACAAAGCGCATTTGCGACAAGTAAGGCAAAAATGTTTTAATGACCAACAAGGTCGAGTCCAACCTATGAACGGTGCACTGTGTGCAATGAATTTTCAATGCAATCTGCAACCAACCAAGACATTCCTACGCTTGCATCACTGGAATGCAATGCTTACAGAATCTGACCGAGTTGACTCACCTCAGGGTTCAACATGTGCGTGTTGACCACAGCCCTCTTGATATCATAAAGGTCTGTGTAGTGTTCCAGAGCCTATAAGAATTAGTGAGAAAGGAAAGTTTCAATTTTATACTGTGTGCACACTACAAAAAGAGAAAAAAAACTATGTGGGTGAGCAAAATATTGTGAAGTGAACAAAATGTGAAATTAAAACAAGTCTTGATGACACACTGAACAGATGAACAACCTCAAGTAATCTGCTTTGAAATTAAACAACAGTATGAAAGGTGACTTGGATTTTTGGAGGAATTTGTTCCAGGACAGCTATGGATTTTCTGGGACAATTTGAGAAACTCAAATTCTAACACCAAGAGGTGGTAAGCTTATGGATTGCCACGCACCCTCTGAAGCAGCCCAGCCTTCTCACAGAGGGAGGCAATGTGGGCGCGGTCGTAGTGTGTGAACATCTGGTTGCCCAGGATGGCGTCAGCCACCTGGGGGGCGGACATCAGGTTCATCTCCAGGAGGCGGGTCTGCAGGTGGCCCTCTGAGGGGCGGTTGTTCTTGAGCGCATCCAAGAGGAAGGAGGTGCACTGCTGCACCATGTTCTGCTCCATGAAGACGTCTACAATCTGTGGAGAAAGGAGACATCATTTACCGATGGCTCTCTTAGTGAGACAAATGCAATACCTGCCATGGTCTCAGATTCAAACTGGTAACTAGTCCTTGAAGGCTCGGCGGTGAAGATGTATCCGCTACTGGGCAGGTCTTGGGTTCAACTCCTATCTGAACAGACTTGAGATTTTTTTTTCTCTCTTACAAGTCCACTGACCATAAAACAACATGCACGTAAAAACTCAATATCTAATCCTAACAATGCATAATCTGACAAGATTCTACATGCTTTACAATAAACCTCAAGGGTTTGGGTAACAAGGTAACAGCCGAGTCATTCCATCATGTCAGGATGGTGGAGGACCCTCACCTGGTTGATGTCTGCTAGTGGCTCCTCATCCTGCACCAGCATCTGGGCAAAGCCTGAGCCCTGCTCCGGGTTGATACGCATCACGTTGCGCAGCAGGAAGATGTAGTCTGGGGTGTAGCCCACCTTCTTGGCATACAGGACAATCTTGCTGAACTGGCCTGTCTCAGCAAAGCATTGGATCACCTAGGACACAGAAATGACAATTTGATCAAGCTCGATAAGTTACAAGAGTCACCGCCACATCTTTCAACTGACATCTAACGTTTCAGTGGCTCCCAACCATTCCATTGCAAGTGCATGAGAGACCACCTTGCTCATGTTTTGCCACTTTAGCACATTACACTCGCAGGAAACCTTAGAAATACGAGCAGAGTTAGGCAGATATTGTTTTTACCCACACACACAAACTGATGGTAAAAACTAATAACACCAACAGATCCATTCCAGCGCACATTACAGCAATGGCATTATAAAAATAGACCCTCTCTATTGCTGCAACTCTCAGTTGGGCTAAAGGAAGACTATTTGCAAGCGGTAGAATAAGGCTAGCCAAAGTGGGAAAAAGGTACACTCCGGGGGCTTTGGGGCCTACCTTGTTGGGAACATTGGCCCTCAGGTATACAGAGAGTGCCAGGGTTGGGTCGTGGGCTTTGACCAGATCGCCAAGCTCTTCACTACACTCCAGCTGCAAGATAAAAAACAATATGTTAAACTTGTGATCAAACCAAGTTCCCTTTTTCCAAAAAGCTATCTTTTTCAAACCATATTTACCAGATCAATTTCTGTCCTCTAACAGCTAGCAAGGATATAACAAGGATATTTGCCCTTCAGTTTTACACAGCATAGAAACAAACATCGGCCAAGCTATTAATTTACAAAACACAGGTATATTAGCGTTTTATCAAATTGGTGGAGTTCATACATTTTCTGATGACAAGCACATTTCTGTGTTGTTAACCACAGACAGTTTACTTGATTTGATATATTCAAAACACTACTAAAAGCGAAGACTTTAGAGTTTGTATGCATAGCCGGGGGGTGCCCGAAATCGGACAAAAGAGCTGGGCCTTGTAACAAAAGACCGTACTCGGAACAAAAGACCGAGCTGCTGGGAATTGCCATCATATTTCATTTGGCATAAGCGGAGGTAATCCGTTATTGTTTTAAAATAGTATACAACTGTTGGCAGCATTCAGCACCCGTGGATCGTCAGCAGGGACAAAAGTGCTCCAGCACGCTAATCTGGCCGTATTTGAAAAGACACCACTTCCATTCAGCACTGGGCCAATTTCAGGAACAAAGGAAATTACATGTCACCACACAATTCTGGGCTCTCTTTACTGGGCAGCAGGCCTGGCTGCAATATTCAGGCATCAATGGAGGTTGCCTGTGAGATTAGAGTAGCCACCAGACAGTCATTTGTTCAGGTGTAAACGTCCAGTAAATGAAGTTATGAATTTTTGAAGAATTCTGAAAGTCATCCGGGAACTTGTCCCGCATATGCAAATTCCACCCAGCAGGAAGTGGTCAAGCCTTTCTACAGCAGGGAGAACATTTCACCGCATGTTAAGATAACTCCAGACAGAGATCCCTGTCCCTAAAGCCCGACCTTGTCCTCCTTGAGCCACTTCTCCAGCAGCTGCTTACGCCCCTGCTGCAGCACAGGCCGGCACAGCTCAAGCGACTCGTACTTGTTGAGCTGGCCCTGGTCCAGCAGGATGCCAAAGTACTGGAGCAGGGGGCTGGTGGCGCCGGGCTGGGCAGGCACCTGCTGGAAGCGTTGGATAGTCTGAGACGTCCGCAGAATGCCCTGGAGGGGAAGAGAGAGAGAGAGAGAGTGACAGGAAAGGAGGTAATGGGCAACAAATGTCAGTCTATGGCATTTTGCAAGCCTGGTACTGACATTCCTTTGGCTTTCTCTGTAAGAAGCTTGTTATTTCTACCCGATTTTCAGATTTTGTCCAGTTTAAATCATAGCCTTTCTGCAGCTTAATTAAATCAAACATACAAAGATCCTTGATCCAACATATAATGTCACAAATTACACGTGCAATAGTAAAACACACACAGTTGAATTCAAACAGGACAGCTCAAGACTGAAAAGATGAAGTTTGGAAGATCACACTAAATATCCATTTATGGCAAGAAGGATGGCAAATGCTGCATTTTTCTATTATAAATCCACTACAAGAACGACTGAGCATAAAGGAAGAGAAAAGTTCAGCATTTTCTTCTAATTTCTTGCAGTAATTTTCTGATATAAATTTTTTTATGACATTTTTCCATAAAAGTTCGGAAAAATTCTCCTCTGCTTTCATTCAAAAAAAAATGGCCTCAAATATATTATTACTCCTATGTAGCAGACAATGTATTTAGGGAGCTACATGCAGATTGCTATGGCTTGAGATGTGGCTATCCATACAGACTTCAAAAGCATAGAATTATTACTGGTAGGACTATTTAATGTTAACAAGTATTTTTTACCAATTGTAATCATATGGATTCTCTGCATGGGGAAAACACATCATTAACGTGTTGACTGGCTGATCAATTTTAACTCCGCTATCACTTGCGCAGGGCTTCCTCTGGCAATATTGCAACTGTCAAGGGTCTCATTTCTTTCCTGAATTTGATGAATCCCTGGGGAATTCCTGCACATCTGCTCCCACTGTGTTAAGTGGAATGTACCGACAATGTTGCCATGGTGATAACCGCAGGCCAGCCTGACTGGCGGCATGGCTCCACAAGGGCCATGCGACAAGCCCTGCCAGGAATGTGCAGAAGTCCTGCTCACATGCTGATGACAACTTGGTTTGACATAGTTTGCAGGGCAGCAAAAAGGCACTTTACGCAGAGCTTGGCAAAATGGGAGAAATATACATGTACCATGCATCACACGGTGGACAGGACTGGTAATGCCACATTTTCTCTACTGGCTGAACAGAACACATGTGGAACAAAAATTTGCAGCAGCAACTATGTTTTGCTAGCCAATGACAAGGGCTGTGGTATTGACGTTGTTTATAACTAAATTAGAATTGAATTTAAACTGAATTAGAGAATTTATAACTGGGTCAGAGAAAAATACCACCATACCTCACAAACCGTAAATAGATTTGTTGTTGTCCTAATGAGTGTGATTTCTTTCAGGAAGTATTATAATTTCATGTGTAGTTTATCTATGGTAATCTGGGCAATAGACACTCAACCGAGGTTTCAAGGCTGCATCTGATGGCAGATATACTGTATATGCCATACCAGAAAACCATAAACGATGAATGCATACAGGGTATGCCAACAATGATGTACGTACACATATAGCACTACAGAAGACAGCCCTGGTGCCACAATTTCTATGAACTTTGACATAACTGTTGTGAGAAACTACAAATGTGAGTAGGATCAATATGCCGAACTTTCAAGTTTGGGACTAGAAATCAAGTGGCTTCCATTTCATATCTGCTGATATGATCAACAACGAAACTGAAGCCCTCACCTTGGGTGCATTGGCAGCCACCTTGGCCGACTCGGCATAGTTGCCCTGGGCAAAGAGTGTGTTGAACTTGCGCACAAACAGCTCCTCCGCCCCTGAGAGGTTGTTGCGCACGGCAATGCGCAGAGCCAGGTCGGGGTTCTGCAGGGTGTTGGTGATGTAGGAGACAATGTTCTCCTCATCAACGCTGACCGACAGCACCTAAGGTCAAAGTGGACAGGTAAGAATGTGACACATGCAGGACAATCACCCGTCCAACACACGATTAGCACACTACCCAACCTTGGAAACTCTGAAAACGGCACAGGAAGTACAATTCATGTGCCTTGTCGTCTAACTCATTGATGCTTTTTGGTGTAGTACACTGACTCACTCTCGATAGTCGGACACATGACAAACACTGCCAGGAGCTTTTGATCTGGGTGTCAGACAGGATATACACATGTAGATCTCCAATGCTATTTTATTAGTTTGGACAAGCAACTGGATAAAGCATGATGAAGCTATGTACTTAAATGAAACACCTGTTGAGTGTTCGTATCAAGCCTGGGGTCACGTGCCTATGGCTTCACACTTGATCCCAAGAAGTACACGTACTGCAGTTCCCTATTATTTAACATTCTTCAAGATTACTATGCTCTGGGGATCAGTGTTTCTGAGACATTTTTCAGATTTTTGTTTTTCTTCCAAAAAATTGGGAGCTTCCAATTCAGAACAGTTGACAAGCAAGTATTAAATACATCAGGTTAAGTACAGTAATGGTACACAACGACCTATGGGATATCTTCTATGGATATTGCCAGTTAAACAAAATCTAGAATATCCATCAGACATTTGTGCATCATGATGAATGTAAATTTGTATGTGGGTCATCTCAATTCATTATACCAGGATAAAATCTGAAATGCTCAATTTTTTGGTTAACAGTAAAAGTCCTTGAAGCAACACAACAGTACTGTACAATCCCACCAAACTTTCCCCCAAAATAACTATAAAAAAGCAGAATTTTTTTCGTTTGCAATCTTTCACTGTTGGAAAGAAAGAAAATTGGACAAATTAAGCCTGCGATTTAACTTTCAGTGCATTACTTCCTTTTCTGATTAACAAACTAAACTCTGAAATGCAAACAAAAGTGAAAGAAGCTATACATCAAAAATTATAGTCATCACTGAAACAATCTCTAAACAGATTAATAGCCCAAACTGGAGTGTGCTCACTAACATCTGAACAAGGCATATCTTCCCTAAGCATAGCCAGAAATGACATTTAAAGTATGCTCAGTTTTCTTGATTTTTCTAATGACATGAGAACAGATCCTTAGCTGTAGGATACAATCAGAGATGTTATCTCAATGGCAGATAAATTCATCTCGGCCATTAACAGTCTTTTCACATTTCAACACACTTTGTCGACTGGACCTTGAGGTCACATCAAACAGATGCTACCATCCTCAGCAGAGGAGACTCCATTTGCATAATTCACTCATCAAAAATTCAGATTTGCATTTATTAATAAAACTGCACTCGGGGAGGAGACATTTTCAGTGCGCACAGAAGCAGCGACTGAATCCCCCTTAAAATCAGCCTCTTACCTGGCCTTTGCGGTTGACGCCGATGATGCCCGAGGTGGCCTCGTGGGGAGCGGTGACAAAGATGGTCTCAGCACTAATGCGGTTCATGTAAATGCAGGTGCCACTTTCCAGGTCGTACAGGTGGATGTAGCCATACTTGGTGATCAGGTAGATGGTGTCATGCTTGGGACTCACCTGAATGTGACAACACATGCATAATTGATTACAAATAGGGGAATGGGAGTGCAGTTGACAATCGTATGTGCGGTGCCACTTAAGTCAACATTAGCAAAAAAGATCTCATACATGTTATAAATATGTTTTCTTGCAGTACTTTCAGTGTTTCTGGCTCAAATCAGCCAGCCGACCAGGGGGAGCAAGATCGGTGGTCGAGGGGTAGATACATCTGCAGCACTAGACAGCGAGCTGAGACCATGGGTGTGAGTACCACTTTGGTAAATCACAACACCCGACTGATTGAAAATACATGCAGCGTGTACGCTTTACATGTATCTGTTCACGAGCCTGGTAGCACCCTAGTAATGACGCTTAAATGCTGGGGGCTAAATCAGTTCACACACGCACATCTCACCTGCATTGCTACTGGGAAATCGTTCTGGGCCTCAGGAGGAAAGAACACATCCACGGCCTTCTTGGCAAATGGTTGGTTACCACTTGGAGGGCTACCAGCCTCGATGACGTGAAGCTGTAGGGGAGCACAAAACAGATGTTTCGAACGAAATAATTTCATTGTTCATTTTGATCCCAAATGCACAGGATATAATTGCAAACAAAACAGAAGAGTAGAAAGATACAAGAACATGAGCAGAAATAGAATGGGGTGGAAGACACGACAAGGTGCATGCCTCTTGTAGCATTTTTCATGTGCACAGGAGGTATTAAGATCCCAGATAATACACATTCCTCGTATGTCCTTAACGGTGAGAGAGAGAGAAACACAATAGACACTGTAATTATACTGCTCTCACACACCCCAGGTGCAATGCAAAAATGCCTAGGTCCTATGCACATTCATACAACTATTGGATGTTTGAAACTCTCCATGAGTAGAATGCTTAGAGACTGCCAGCTGCTCAAGTCAAGACAGCAATCTTCCCTTGGCTTTTCACAGCTTGGGAACATCGGGCAATTCCATTTGGTGATCTGTGGCTGTGAATGTCACATGAACTTGGACAAGACCTACTTCCACCAAGGACAACGTGCTGGGAGTACAACCTGTTACCCACTTCCCAAGGGAATGTTCCAGGAGGAATAGGTATTATGTGAGTGCCCCCGTTTTGAGATGCTCCTGAAGTGTCCTTACACTGTGCAGGTCAAAAAGCAAATCCTGCTCTTACCTTGCCCCCGGCTGCTCCCCGGACAGCGAAGGAGAAGATGGTGGATGCCTCTGGGTTGCCCTCCTGCTTAAAGACGGTGAAGCAGGCCGCATGCCCCTCGATGGGCTGACTGACTTTCCGCTCGACAGAGTACAGTTGCATGGCTCCCACTACTCGGTTTTGCTGCAGGGCAGGACAGAGCAATGGTCTACAGTAAACACTGTGTAAGTGATCTCTCTCACTTGACTTGGACTGTTGGGTGCCTGGGGACACCTAGTTGATTGCATGGCCCAGGTTTTGTTTCACAGGAACTCAGGTGGAGTATTTTAGACATGTTAAACAATCTGTTAAGTTGTAAGAATTTACTTCAATAGGCATCTAAATAAGATTGAAATATCTGTACACAAATCCTGATTGATCAGTGACTACACAATCTACAAGGAAATGTGAAGTTAACCCTCTATGGCTGAAATGCCTCTGCAAAAATTCCACTGATTGAAATTATTTTATGCAATGCATCTGCTTAGCAAAAGCAGAGAAGAAATCTTGTAACGGCTCTAATCAATGAAGTTATGAGAAGTGCAAACAATTGGTGAACTTTGATCTACAAGGTGCCTCATAATGAAGTTACAATTAATTAACAAATAATCTAGATGAATGAAGAGAAAAACACTATCACTGAACAGCCACACGTGCCAAGTTTAAATAATTCGACAGAAATCACTACCAAACGATGAAACATAGTAAGGCTTAGTTTTCTTCTCTTTATGTCTCTGTCTGGCTTTGGAAATTTTGTGTGTGTCCATCCGGTCTCACCTGAGCTGAGATGCCGATGAGTAACAGCCACTGCATCTTGGCGTCAGTCCGGTAGTTGATGATCTGGCAGCCAGCCAGGTTGGAGTGGCGGTCAAACATCTTGACCGGCTGTGACTCGCCCTCCATGCTCCAGTGGAAGACAGCATTGTCCGTTACCATGCCAATGGTGTTGACGTTGATCCACTTCCAAAAGTGCACCTCCTCTGTCAGGTTGTGGGCCTTCATCTTGCTCTTCATCTCAATGTTGAAGATCTGCAGGGTGCGGCCGGCTGGTGGAAAAAAATTATTACGGCAAAAAAAAATTGTGACGTTGCTCAACTGACAACCTATTCATGTGCATCCTAAAATTACACTGTTCAGGAGGTCATGGCGACGCAATGCTTCAGCTCCTGAAACTGTTGAATGAATACCCAACTTAAGCCAATTCTGAATAGTTCTGTAGACTTCCAAAGCAATTAGCACTGTGATTATTGAATTTTGCAGTGTTAACATTGTGCTCATAATGTAGTCTCCTCAGGGCTAGATTATCCACCATCTCCGGTTTTGATCATGGAATCCATCCCATTACAATACCTTGACTTGTTGCTACAATTATCTTTCCTACAACAGAGGCGTTATTTATCCTTGTATGGAGTAAACTGTCCGTCCCCTGCTTGAATAAATTTGCAGTGGCCACATTAACGCTACCCTCTTCACTGACACCAGTGTCTCATCCAGCCACCTGTCTCGAGGACAGGCAAACATTATTCTGGACAGAAATGTACAAGCAGTTTTTGCTTGCCAAAATGTTAGAAACCCCATTTATTTCACAATTTGTCAACACTGCTGAACGAATTTTTATAACTTCATCCAGAGTATGCGGCACCCTGGGAATATGGACACTGTAATCTGTTGGCCTTTAAATACGTGTACATGTACCGGTATGCCTAACATGCCCAATCCACAGACATGTTAAGTAAGAGCTGTGGCTTTAACCACGCATCTACATGTACTTCTCAAATGTCCTACTGTTGAAAGAAATTATACATGCAAGTCAAAGACTTCAAAGTATAGTTGTTATATTAATAGGAAATCTTGCCGTGCCTACCTTTAAAGAGCAACCTTTTTTTTTTTCAAAATGAAAACAAATCTGTTTTGAGCGATGACTTCAATAATTCAGGCTGCTATCAATAAAAATAACTGACTGTACACGTTCTCAACAGTTCTCCAATTTGACTTCAGTCACCCTGTCTGCCAATCCATGAAAGCAGATCCAGTTACTTGGAAATGAACAGGTTGATATCTAGCATGGCCGCAAGCAAAGGGGAAATCGATTTGCTTTGTGCACATTTCACACAGAGTCCTGTGGAAAAAGGGTCTGAGCATTTTATTATTCAAAATTCCACTGTTTTCTTTCATTATGAATTCACCCATATTCCCTCAATGTATATGTAAGTTGTTAAAAGAAAACTCGCCCCATACATGTATGTAACCATGTCATCATTTGAAGGGAAGCAACATTTAAATCTTTACCATTTTGCAATTTTTTTTTTAAACCTGTGTCTTGTATGTATACACAAAAATTTACTTGGACTCCTTTGGCATATAATATACTGGCAGTATTCACTGCACAAAAGCATGCATGTACACGTGTTGTACTGTGTACCTATACGTATGCATCTTCACGCTCCTAGAGCTGTAATGAAAGTTTAAAACATCCCAAATGCCTTTTTTTTTTTCTTCTTTCCTTTTTTACACTTTTTTAACATACAATTTGAAAAACAGTGAAGTGTCACGCACTGATAGCACCCCTGGTACAATTCCCAGACTGAACTTCAACATTAGCTGGTTGACAGAAAAGTGGGCAGAGCCTTCCACTTGGCTTTTAGGCAAAGGTCAGAGGTCAACAAGATTACAGCCCACATTGGCCCCGCTGTGAGATCCGCCCCCTTCCACTCGGCCAGTTATTGATCTACAGCATGTCAGGCTGCTGATAACACTGTTTGTATTGATTCACTGGGAGCTTGTTAAAAAGGATAGCTGGGGTGTAGAGCAGAAATAGGGCAGCAATGAATTCAGGTTTTTGCAGTCTGCAACAGCCTACATGATGAAAATAGGACCTATCATACAAAGCTTTGCATATAACTTAAAAACAGAGCCTGTTCTACGTATCATAAATTTATTTAACTTGCTATACATAAAGCTTTATTATTACAAACTGTACTGATCAAATTTAATGCATGAAGTAAATCATATTTAGTCACCTATTTCTTGTATACCAGCTATTGTGTTCTGATTAACTTAACCACAGACTTGATTCACAGAATATACATGTACAACCACGTAAAAAAGTACAAATTTATATTAAAGGCAATAAATTGTGCACTTGTCTTGAAATTTCAAATTTGTAGCTTATCAATGTGTAGGAATACATGTACCAGTCCATCCTTTGATTTTTCTAGTAAACTGCATGCTCAAAGAAAAATGATTTAATTTGAATGATATACACATACGTATGAAGTTGATTAGTACAATTAAAAGTGGAAAACTCTAAGGGTAGGGTTTTGTTGGACTTAAAATATTAGACCTACATAAAGATGAAATGCAGTGGTTTAAATAATCAACATGAAAAACGAAAAATCCATGAGCATGAAAACTGTCCTTTTGATAAGGATACTTAATGCACTGTACAATTTGAAAGAATTCTCATTTAGCTTTGATTGGTGACTTGCTTTTTCATTATAAGTATAATATACTGTACATGTACATGCACATGTCCAGTGGGATGGCCCAAATGTAGCCAATAACCATGGAAGCCATTAATTAAGGCTACCAAGTACCATTCACTGATGTAATGGGGAATTTCCTCAAGAGGTCTGCTGGCTAGTAACTGTCTCAACAATATGACGTCAGACCCGAGTTAAACCACTGATGTCTGCCAAGCTTCATCAGCTAAGCCCCTGACAAATGTGCACGTGCGCAGCACCTGGGCCTTGGATAACGCCCCTGCAGAATCTACATGTACCGAACTACAGCACACAGGGAACAACAGGCTGTTACCGTTATACACGCACCACTTAAGGCCTTTTCACACTAGACAAATCTCGGGGTTGACACAGGGTTGAAACTAGCGGCGATTCACACTTGAAAATTTTCAACCCTGCGTCAACCCCGAGACTGACTTCAACCCAGGTTGAACTAAACCCTGCTCCGGACCTGGGTTGAAATTTTCAACCCGGTTTAAAATTGTTTGTGCTCATTTCTGGGTTGAACTCACCCCAATATGCTCAATTCACACAAAACAAGTGTGATACAATGCTGGGTGGAATGGAGGGTTGAAAAATTCAATTTTCAACCCAGGGCGGCCATGGGCTCACCCAGGGTTGAGTTCAACCTGACAGGCTGTAGTGTGACAAGGCCTTAAGTGACAGGAGGCAAAAGACACGGTTGCTTTTGCTGGTTGGAGCCATCATAGGTTTGATAGAGTTTCAGCAGGGATTCAGCAACAGGACAAATTGTTACAAAAGTTTTTAAATGAAATATACCAGTGATTTCTCTTTCAATACAGTATTACATGCACAAGGGGAACACATGAGCTCAGAGACAGGAAACGCTTCAGCCAAGATACTTTGAAAGTGGAGGACTTTTGGCCTTTTTGTCCAATGACTTGGAGTGCTAAATTAGCTTTGGTAAAGCCTCTCCAACAGACACTGGAGGTCTAAGGTTGGGGCTTGAGCTTGTCTCACCTTTGAGCGCAATGACTTTACTGGCAGGGTTCATGATGGCCGAGTCGGCTGAGATGGGCCGCCTGATGGGATTGGCCGAGTCATTAAGGTCGATAATGACCACCTGGGCCTGGTCCCCAACCTTCTCCCGGATGCAGATGAACTTGTCTGACTCCATGGTCAGCGTGCTGAAGCCGATGTTGGCCGCATTGATGCCCAGGTTTTGGAGCTGAGGGAAAGTAAACATGAAAGGATGAAGGAAAAGAACGCTGGTTACAGATGGAATCCTTTGTGCTTACTATGACGTGTAGTCCCCTCGCTTCAAGTCTGATCTCTTTTTAACATTAACAAATGACTAAATCTCAGGAATCATCTTGGAAACTGCCTTACCTAAGTATGAGGACAAAAGGTTTACTTCACCATTTTTATCCTACACATGGGGTATAACCTTCTGACACTGCAATGTCAAAAACTGTCAATGTACATGCCCTTGGGAGTGTAAACTGGGGAAGTAATCGTGTACATGCTTACATGCTATGGAACTACACAGATTCCAGCAATGCTGTTTTTGGGGAGAGGTCTGCTGTGCCATATGGGACTCTTCAGAGAAGAGCCGTCAACCAACTGCCCCCCAAAACACAAGCAACTTTTCCGTGATCCCTTTATGCCCAAACTGCAATGGATAAGACTGAGTAACAATAAAAATGTAGACAATGGCAACATTCCTGTAAAATACCAGCAGGAATACAAAGCAGAATTTTACTCAGTGAGTGGTGCTCCTTAGTGGATGGAGTCTACATTGTTGATGCAGCCACCACATGGTTTCTTGGAAGCTGAGGCACCCCACTGTAATATTCATGCAATTTCCTTGCTTGCGTTTACATTCAGTTTAATACACATAAGTACATGTACATTGCTGTGTTCCATCATTTAGCATGTCAAAAAACAAATTCACATTTTCTTATTCAAGTATCCAATGTACAAGTAAATACTGGAATTACTTTGTGATTATTCATCAAATAAGGTAACATGAAATACTTTGTCTTTTACCAAGTTGAAAACTGAAATATCATGGGGATGATACACCTCTAGACAAAACTGGTAGCAGTACACGTTTCTTTCGGGTGGAAATGTAAAATTCAAATCAGAAGTTAATCCTAGGTCTGACCCTGAATCTGTGACAAGATATCACAGAATGCGGTTTTCATGGATAGCCAAGTTATTAGCAGGTGCAGGTTATAATACATGCACAGTATACATGAAAATGCACATAGGGACTGCTACCATTCTCTGTGTAAATCCAGCTGAATCTTTGGATTTGCATGGTTAATTTTTTACCAACATGCATCATTTGCATAAGGTGCACTTTACTCATTCATAGCCAACTGTGTATCAAAGTGGTCTCCGTGTTCGTGTACTTACCGGATTTTCACATTTAATTTGACCACAACAAAGCAATGCAAACAAGGCAGTCTATAAATCAGTTGATATTTTGATAAATTTATCTTTTTTGCTGTCATCTTTCACAAACCACTTTAAATGCTTCAATTAACAAAAAAAAAATCAAAAACAGTTAGTTGAAGGGCAGCTTAAGGTTACATTTAGTGAACCTGAGCAAATACATGTACTACATGTACATCTCTTTCAAACTGTAAACAGAAAATATCATCGCCTGAGAAATCAAAAGATTTCATTTGCCACAAAATGCGGCAGAGGATGGCCCAATGAAAATGCACCTTACATGTCGTCTGGCCTCCTGGTAAATTATGCACCAACTGATGGAGGCTTACATCAACATGTACTGGCACCCTCACCATGACAGCACCGTGCATGTTAAATTGTACAAGTGACAATAGCCTGGAGGTGTGTGAGGCTACATGTACAATGTATTTGATGACGATGATGCACTTGCTGGTTGCACGGCAGGACATTTTGGAAATGTAGACCCACAGCGTCATGCATCTACGACCATTAGTGATAATTACAATTTCATTTTGTTGCTAGAATGAATTAATTTGACGGCCCGAGCTTCAACTTGTGTAGCACATACATGTACATGTACATGTATGCTAACCTTTGCTACCTATGCACTTGCACATGCTTTAAAGTACAAGTACTGTGTCTGTACACTTACATGTACAGGACACTTCAGTGTCCTTCATCCCACTGACTTCTTCAGTCTAATCAAACATGCTTCTGAAACCTGCCGAGAACTTACATGAATCAGTACATATATATCAGTGCATAAAATGACTGCCTCAGAGAAAAATGAACTTTATTTTTAATGACATACATGTTTGTACATACCATTACTGTACGCGTATACACATGCATGTACTGTAACACAGACAAATGGGGGCCTTTGATCAGGAATCCATTCTTATGACAATATCTAGACTTACTGCTTTTAATATGTACATGTGCAAACACAGTATCCTGATAAAAGAAACCTGATATGAATGGCGAGTATCACATTGCAGTCTGTGTATTCTTTACAAAGACTGGCTCCTGAGGGGAAGACTGACAACACACCAAGTCCCATCAATTAAAAAAAACAAACCTTAAAACAAAGCCAAACAAGTAAATTACCAAGCATTGTTTTCTATGCAAAGTTCAAAATTTGTGCCTAACGACTGTAACATTATTGTATGCACAGTAACATTCATGCTCATACAAGTAAGCAAATTTAAATGGACTATTACTGATCAGTCAAATACAAAAATTACATGCACAGGTATATCTGATCATATACAGTGTATTTAAATATTGGATAACAACAGAACGCTAACTTGTGAAGTTCCCTTTCACTAGCAACTGTCTCTGGTACTGGTACAATGCAATGATGTCAATGACTTCACGCAGACTACATTATATTTGTAAATGAATGGGAATATCAGCATTTCTGTATTTTCTTTAAATTCTGTATATTATTCAATTAAAAACAAAGTAGGCCCATTGGATTTTTTTTGAGATTTCAATAGTTGATACTCCAATACTTTGCACAAGCCCTGATAACAACTGCTACACATCCCTGTATACATTTATGTAGCTGAAAGGTAGCCCCTTGCAATTTAAACTACAACCCAAGATGGGCTTTTCATAAAATATCCTTAGGGGAAATGCATCTAGCTTGGATCTGTAGTAATTAAAAAGGCAGCTTGTGTACGTGTTACGTGTACGTGTTAGCTGAGCAGGATGCCCAATGCACGTCTAAATACTGCACTGCATAAATAACACATACATCTGCATAAATGTACAGTACCTGCCACAAACTCAAATTTTACGCGGTACATATAACCAGATACAAGCTTCAAATTGAAAATGCACACCTTACTATATTTAGTCTGGCTTCATATGTTCTGCAATGATTTCTTTAACATATTTTTTCTTTCTCTTGGTTGCATACATGTGCATTCATGTACATGTATTTGTACATGTACAATGTACGTGCATGTTGTAGTTTCTCTTGCTGAATAGGTAAACAAAATACCTGACACTTAAAACTGCATACTGATCCATTATTTGTGTGTTGGGGAGAGGAAACATTTACAATGTGCAGAACATAAACACCAGGTTTGATTAAGATGTGCAGAACATAAACACTAGGTTTGATTAAGATGTCTTAATGTGTAATATTACAGTTGATTAATAGCGTATGTTAACGAGCTTAACTTGCTCCTCATCAACTATTTTTTATCACATTTTGTAATCCTTACTTTCTACTTTAAGTATATGAGAATTCATAACCCAACTGTGCCAGGCATAATTTTAGTTTCTTGGCATTCGTAATTCTCAGGGTTCATGGACTGAATCCACATAATGTATGCTAAATACATCTGCATACTGGCTAATCTCTGAGCGTCTTCATAAGCTGTGGAACTAATTAGGTATTGGTCCCCTACTGAAATTCTCAGCTGATTTGAAGTGGGTTGCTGCACCAAACACTCAGCTAATCCTATTTACTCTCAAACCAATTAATTTGCATCTCCATGGGTTTAATCACTGCTCTTTGAAATTTGCCTGTAAATTAGTCAAGGATAAACATGTACATGCAGGAGTAATGTTTTTATTTCGGGAGGAAACATCTTGAACAGTAATGATCTCTTACGTTTTAATGACTTACGATAGGAAGTCCTTTGTTTTTGCACATACTGTGCTAATTGTTACCATTTTCATAATGGCCTCAAGTTTTTCAAAGGAAAACTATTATAAACGATTACAATTACATCAGTCAAGTTAAAAAAATCTCACAAAGACGGAAGGTTGTATGCACAGTGTCAACGCATTTTTCTGACTCATTCCAGATGCATGTACATATATTCTACTAAAACCCACAATGCACTGGTGACCATGTTTTGAACCTTTTGTTTTCATGTGGTTGATGCAAAAGAGAGTTGCGATGATTAAGTCTGAGCAACCTTTCTATCCCAAAGCCACCAAACTCACATTTACTTACGTACATGTGACTGACTGAGGTTCAATGCAGCCCAGCTGCATGTAAATGTACTGTACATGCACATGTATAACCTTAGAGAGGGCTTGACATTCACTTTTTGTTCCAGTACAAAGGATGTCATTGTGTCATTGGCATTGTTACATGTATTACACGTATTAGAGACCTAGACCTACATGCACATGCACATGTAAAAGAATTCAGGAAGCCCAAGAGCAAAAATGGACTAAACCTTTCATGGAAAACCCAGTTGGAATACATGCAGTAAACCAATAAAAGGACTGAAACTTCTACATGTACCAGAGTACCAATGACACCTTTCAATACAAGGTTGAATGTTAATTTAAATTTGACTATCTGAATCTCTCATGTCTAAACAATTATTATTTTATAGTGTGTATCAGTTAAGAAGGAAATAAATGCAGTTCAAATGGGATGAAAAGCATATTCCTTTTGATTGGGGTAGTCAATGACGGAAATCAAGTTCACAGTGTTCAGTCACCCAAGGCCAAACTTCTTTTTTTTTTCACAGATACTGAACTGTTTACATTGCCATTCCCAGGAACAACCCTGCTATCAACCACTTCACTGCCACTTGTACCTGTGCCCAGTCGGACTCTATCTCATTATTCTTAACAAGCTAGCAAGGGGCGTTACGGTTTCCTTCAATACATGCACAGTGGGTGGAAGCTACATGTATGTACATTTGTACTTTCCTCTGTTGCAACCCTTGCCCTCTGAAACCATTCTTTGCTGTTACCCACCGTAGTATAAAATAAACTACATGTAAATGTAACTACTGAAAAAAAATACATGTTTATGCAACGATTAATAGAATTTCGACGGCTTCCTGGATACTTACACGTGTGAGCATCATTTCAAACTTTAACCCTAACTCCCTAGGGTGTGTGCAAAATCATATTAACCCTAACCCTCCTCAATCCTTCACCTGTTGGAGGACTGAGGAGTGTTAGGGTTAATATTGGAGGATTCAGGACTGTTAGGGTTAAGCAAGAAACAATTTTTGCTTTAAAATTATACAAACTTATACAAATTTATACGAGTAACAAGTTACCAACAAGTTTTCAAGAACTTTTTCCCCAAAGGATCGGGAACCTGTTTGTGAAGATGAGGAAGAATTTCAAGTGCATCTAGAACAAAAAAAGTGTAGCTTCATTTTTCATTCTCATTTTTTCTTTTGAATATTTGATTATTTTGTGTGGGGTGCACTGGGCTTCAACTTTGAAGGATGAAATTAGCCAAGTTCTCAAGGTCAAAGTGTCAGGAGTTTACAGTGTATGATAAACCAGCACCAGACAGGATGTGAGTAGAATACATCCAGTGCTAGTAAATGGTTATTAATAAAAGTGGTAGTCAGGAAACTATGACGGTACACATGAACTTTCTCCATGCTGAGGTACATTCTACGACAGGAAATGTACATGTACAGCCTCATAAGGGGGATGCTTGGACACGATAGGAAATTCTATTCTTAACACACTTTCTAATGTCGCCCACACTTAATATAGTCTGTGTATATAATTGTTAACCCTAACACTCCTCAATCCTCCAACAGGTGAAGGATTGAGGAGGGTTAGGGTTAATGATACATGTCTCGGGGCTGACACGGTGACAAGAGTCATGGGTGCACCAGTACATGTGACAAGAAAACAGAAATTCTGGAGGGGACTGGTTTACCACAAGTTACCACATACTGTAGGATACTGCATCTACTTACATGTACATGTACACTGTATGTACAATATGCTTTTTCTCCGACACTGATGGGAAAGTTTATCCAGATAAAGGGAGTTTTTTAACCACTTGCTGACAATATTATTTTGACAAAAAATTTGAGCAGTCCCACATATTTTTAACACTCGGGAACATGTCCATGGAACAGCATTTGCTAGGGGAACTACATGTAGCCGTGCACACTTTTGGGCTTCTTGTGAGTGTATGGTGGCATGTGTGTGTGTACAAAACAAACAGGGATCAGCATGTTTAAAGGTCAGCTGGAGGCGAGTCAATGTGCACTTGATATTTTTTACCAGTCAGCTATGCCTCTTCACACAGATGGCAAGATGGCCCTTATAGATTCTTTCTCAGGTGCGAGTGGTCAATGCTGGGGGTGAACACTTTCCACCATTAAATTTCGCAGGTCATTCAAAATCCATCAGAGTTTGAGGATTTTACTGAACTGAGGGAATGTAGAACCAAGGAGATGCTTCTTGGAAATGTAGTGTATGTACAAACAATGTGTCAAAGGTTTCAGCCAAATCAATCAAGTAACGTATCACTTGTCTATGTAATGTAATGTAACTGGAGAAGTGAACTGATTTTTTAAATTGTGACTATCCAAACAGTCATGGTAGTACAAAGGTTAATCAGATTTCTCCTCGATGGCATTTTCCTGTATTAACCCTAACCCTCCCAAATCCTTTTCTGCAAAGTTGGAGGATTCAGGGTGTATGGCAAAAGTACATGGCTGATTTTGAAGGATGCCATACGTGAAGGTCCTGGATTAGAATTTATGTTGTTTGTGCTTAGTCAAGCACAAGTTCAGCCCAATATTTCTTTTGAATCAACTGCACAGCTCAAGAGTGCCATTCACACTGCCTTAACATAATGACAGGGATTGACGGAGGATTTTGAAGGATTTGGGCAGTTAGGCACACCTCCAACTGACATTTTCAAGAACTTTTTTTGAAGAACATTGATTTTTGAAAAACAGTGTTGCCTTTACAGCATCATGAAAAGTAATAAGACACAACACAAAATGGTAAGTTAAATATTAGTACAGTATTATTTATTTTTATTTCTACAATTCAAGCAGACTGCTCAGCATGTGAACAGAAACAATGAAAATTGCAGGTTGAAAGTTTAACACCGTGTTGAAATTGAAGGAAAGTCTGTTAAAGTCACCAACAAGCATGATAAGTAAAAATTTCAAAGTGGCCTTGGTGCCCTTTCACTGGCCTTGGTTTTTGGGAGCATTCGAGGCCAAGTGGTCATGACCCTCTGAAGCTTAAGGTTGAAGCCTGGTTACAATTAATATTGAAAGTAATTACAACACATAAAATCAAACAGCATAACATTTGTAACCTTTGCTTTATTGATTTTTACAAATAAAATTAATGACACGTAGCTGTTAAAGAATACATTTTACCAACCTGCAGCACTTTTTACAAGAATTTCTACACCGGTCTAGTACTATTGTTGAGGCCTGTCATACTTGTACAGGCCTCGACATCGCGAGTCATCGGTCGTCCTTTTCTGTACATAAAATGTATTTCTCACAAATCAGCGATTGATTGCAAAAGCATTATTTATACATGTAGTAAACATGCCTTTACGATGACGTAGGGAGAAATCCCTTCCAGTATTCCTCTAAAATCCCAGCCATGGGCTGTGGGAGTTCCGCTCACTGTTCTATCACTACGCTTGATAATCCCAAAATTTATCCGGCACTAAAATGGTCCTAGCTAGAATATTGGTGGTGGCCACACTACATTATAATTTTTTTTTTTACATACTCCATAAGCCTAGCCTAAGCCTACATGTACTTTACCACCAAACTAAGAATTCCACCTCACATTGTAAAGTTGTATTTTCTGGGAAACTAAGTCTACTGAGCTTTGGAAAACTGACAAGTTTTGTGATTTTCTTCCAACAATGCCTGCATGGTCTGAGAAAAAATTAGTCATGATAGTCACCTCGTTTAAAAATTACAAATAAAAACTCATTGTTGTTTGTAAAACTTAAGAAGCATGGTGGCCACATACATGTATGAACTCTTTCTGTGAATTTTGCAACAAATAAAAAAGGAACTAATTGATTAATGTAATTTGCAACATCCATCTTCACCATCATTTCATTTTCAGGCACTTCCTTTCACGTTTCAGCATGTTCAGGTGACCGTTTCTACTAGCCATGCTAGCCTGATCAGCGTCTGCGGTGAACTCATTTTCCCCATATTCAGTTAAGCCTAATCACCAATGCAAAATCAGCCAACAAAATGTGCACGAAGTGTTACCTACAATGTGAAAAACAACCATCTTGACTGAACCTCATCCCCCAAAACTGCTTCGGGCACCTGCCCAAAATTGGCACGTGGCCGCCATTTTGAGAGGGCGTGTTAACGTTTAACACTGAAATCCAATGGAGCACACACATTACAAATGATACAGTAAATTTCCAACCACCGGTGTTTTATCATACATACCTGTAAATGCTCCTGGAATCGGATGGGCAAATTCTGAGCCATAGCGACTTTGTAGATCTGTCCCTCTCCCAGAAAAAATGCACACCTTTCCCGTCTTTTCCTCAGTTATAAGATTTTCTGAAGGTAATTTACCAACGTGATTTTAGCCCAAGTGGCCAAAAACGGCCGACATGTATGGAGAGGCGTAAAAGTAGTTCCAGCTAAATATTCAACGAATAACCTACGCACACACTAGATCAATTTCTGAAACGTATCTTACATAAATAGGAACAATTATACATTTAAAAATATCAGAAATCGTGATTCAGTTCATTCAATTAGACCGTTCAAAGCATTCCAGTTACTTTGGAGGAGATAATGTCAGTGAGGACTAATTCCTAAACATTGGCGGTGATGCGGCTGTGCCACATAAGCTCAGCAATAAATGAATGGGCATACGTCATGCATCTGCGGCTGATGTGTGCACTGCTATCTTGTCCTAAATAGTGTAGTTCGTGCTGCAACGAGCCTCCGTCCGTCGCGAAAGTTGAAATGGGAACGCTACACCCGGGTGGTTAAAACAACATTTCGTTTCCTTCAAATTTATGAGAAATTATTTGTTTCAGCATAGTTGCAGCAAAAGTTGACACGATTGCACTGAGTTTCTTATTAGAATATTTGAAGGAGCACATAGAGGAGCCCGAAGAATTGCAGCGCCACAGACTGCATGTTATAAAACAAAGTCGATTTGAACTTTCCACTTGAGTGAAATCAAGTCAAGTGCGACGGTGACAGAAACACGTGTAGTGTACTTTACTATACTTTTGAATGGCTCGATGAAAACGATTTGTCTGTTTCAAAGAGTAGTGTGCTATTGTTCACATTTATCTTTAACGATAAGGTTTTTAAAAATCCTATTGCGGAATTATGTGGAGGGAATTACAAAAATTGCGAGTCCAAATTTATTGGAATTCATGAGACTGGGAGGGCGCTAGTTAATAGGCTAGAAAGCTTGCTTGATCAGATCTGGTTCCCTTCTTCAGATTTTGTACAAGAGAAACCCCATGGAAGGGAACCTGTCCATTGTTTACCTTTTACGGTTTCCCAAGGTCATGCCAAAGACTGAACGCGTTTAGATGTCTGTGGATCACGCCCTTGACGAAGGGAGATCACTGACTTTTAGTAAACGTCACTGCACTTGTGTTTTTTGTTCTTTTGGGAAGTTTGCCATTATCTGTATCTATATTTATGATATGGTCGGCAAAGCATCCAAAGGCACATCACCCCAACTGTTTGCGCATAGCGCCTCGCTTTGATGCAGTCCTGAGCACACGCACAGTACTTACACAAATACTATCAGCATCATGACTATGAGCGATAAATCAAGAACGGGTAGGGCCTACTTTAGTTTTGAAAATCCCAAATGTAGTTTTGGTTTAGGGCCTAAGTTATTGCTCACACCATGTCATAATTTAATAGTGCTAGAAAAGTAATTATTACCCCTTTTTCCTTCCCACAATGCCCTTCAAACATTGTACAAAATCACCTATGCAGTATACTACATGTATTAGCATTAACATGATTAAGGTTTATGGAAATAGAGATACCTATTTCTAATACTAAAAATAGAGATATCGCTTTTAACAATAGAGATATCTCAACTTCTCATTTATTGTTAACTTTGCATGCCCAGAATAAAGAGATCTCTATTTTGGAATTAAATGTAAACTTTACGCACCTCAAATTTCCATATAAAATTTCCCAAGCTTCTCCAACATATCTGTTACGCCCCAACTACAGCATCAGTCCCAACTGAAGTGCTATGGTTAGGCCGGCCCAAATATGGCACAGACGGAGGTCCAGTGCATGCATGTTACATAGCATGGTCTTAAGTCATTTTGTGTATCAACAACTTCACTAGTGTGGCATGGACGCAGGAGTAAGAGTCCGTGCCACACTAGTGGCGCTACGACAACTTGTGATTATAGAAATGAGTTTTCATATACATATAGATGAAGTGCCATATTTTAGATGAATTATGTCAGGTGTGAAGTGCATACACTCGGAGAAGGTTGAGAAAATTTCTATAGAGACTAGTCAACAATAGTTTGGCCAGCCCAACTGCAGCACCACAGTTGGGACTGGCCCTACTATAGTTCGGGCATAACATATCCAAGTTCATGGAACTGACACACACCTGTCACAATTCCTCAAAAATATAACCCTTATTTTTGTGACATAAATAAAAACTTGTTTCTGCAAGTGCAAGTTGTTGGTGTACAGTCATTTGCAAAAGTTGAAGACCACCTGGAATTTTATTGGTATTTCTGTCACTGGGCCTGCATTATATTGTCTCATTGACCGATTACTTAACATGATTTTACAATGGTCCATAACATCAGTGTAGTGCTATACACCCATTTGAATGAAATTTTTTGCAAAGGCAGGTCTTGTATGACATTTTGTCTGTAAGGCAGCTTGGGGAAAAAAAAGCAAGGAGGGAACTCTGAATATTAGACTGTTAACATGTCAAATCATGGAAATGTAGTAAAAAATGTTCAACCAAGGTTACACATTGAAAAGAAACATAAGTTGCCATGATTGATTGGTTTAAGTTTGGTTTTCCGTCAGGTTAATGCATTTTCTATGGGTGGTCCTAAACTTTTGCAAATGTAGTTCAGCTGGCCCTACTATAGCACTACACTAGTAGGGATGGTACCAACTGTAGTCGGGGGCCGAGTCGAGGCTGATGCTATAGTTGGAGTGCAACACTCAAGTGTATGCCATGGAGCAAGACAGGTCCATGCTGTACCGAGAGCACAACAGCACTCATGGCAGTAGTAGTGACAAACTACAGCTAAGCAGACTTCGGCTGTCTTGCCTCAGTCTAAAAGGCCTATGGTAGACTTTCAAGAAATTTGAGTTGTGGGCGTGCATTCTCTGTATGCCCTATTTATGCTCCATTAAGGTGATAAAGGAGATTGAATGTAATTTGTAAGCTAAGACAATTTGTAGAGATTCATCCTAATCCTTCAATGGTTGGATGATTGTTGATTGTTCTGGTTGATATGGTTAATGGTTTCAGTCAATGGGGTCGCAGTATATCACGTCTGTGTAGCACCAAAACTCTTAATCCTGAGCTTGTTTGCAAAGTTGGGGGAGAGGGATCTTTAAAAAAATGGTTCAGGGAGTGGTTGCTGGAAATGTCCAGCTTCGTACCTGTCCAAATCTTCACTCCACAGAACTACCACCAGGCGGTGTATGTCTCAGTGTACCACACATCTATCAGATGGAGGACTGGGATTGTGGCCTGGCCTGTTCCAGGATGATTTTGAAGTGAGTAGCAATGATGGTGTCGTGTGTTTGTGATCCCTTGGAACCCGAGAGGGATTGTGGGAAATGTGTCCATAAGCAAGACATTGAACTGTGTCTAACTTTTCACTTTACAGAAATTGGGTACTCACAAGAGTGGAGTTTATTGCTTTCTGACAAAAAGTTTAATAATATGTATGTTACCATGTTGATAATTAAAGTGCTTAATGTATGTAAACACTGATATTGCATTTGTAAAACACTAAATGGATTACTGAAGTGGTCTTTCCTGTCAGTGCTGAATACATGTTGGAAAGTTCACATGAACTAAGCTCAGTTGGTTTTAAACTGCTTTTTTTATCACTGCATGCAGGTTTATACATCCTGAGACTGATGATGAATCACCAAAATTTGATGAAATCTGTAAAAAGCTGGGCTTTGGTGAGAGGTAAGAACATTGGAAAACCTTCCCTAGGGTTGGCTGAAGTAAAGGGGAAGGCGCAAAGGTGGTTTCCTACCCCGGTTGATCTGAACTAGAGTTGGCAGCTTTCCTCATTTGTAATGATGAAAGTTTTCAAGATGTATTTCCAAATTGTGAATGATGAAAGTGTTTTGCATAAGTTAGGGTGGCACAATGCAAGAATATTGCCCAAACCTCAAGCGCTTGGAATGTTTCCAAATTGTCTCGGCCTGTTTGAAGAACAATTTATGTACTACTTGGTCAGCCAACACTCTGGGAATGCTGATTTTAGTATGCATACGCAATATGACCTGATACAGTTGGAACTCAAAAGGGGGTTGGTAGAAATAGTGACTACCCATCAGGAACATGGCTTTGTTTTGTTCAATAGAGAAATGTTTCAACCTAAAAAAGGGATTCAGTTTTTCCCCCTTTCCAATTTATAACCCGACAGTTTGTCTTTTTGAGCAGCATTTGGACAATTGACCTAGCGCATTTGATGGTGCAGTTCAACGTTAAACATCAGCTGTATACCATAACTCTTGGAGTGGATCCAACATACCAAGAAGTGGTGAGAACTGACAGTACTTTTTAACCCTTAAATGCATGATCCAAGACCTGTAGAAACCATTTCAAAGACCCTTTGCATATAGAGCAGCCATCTTGGAGGCATGTTCAGTTGAGTGGATTCAGTAAGAGTGTTGTGCAAAGAAGATGGTTATCATGCAGAGGATTAATTGTAATGGGAGTTTTTTTCAAAATCTCAGATGGGGCTCTACTATCAGTTGTGGAGCCAAGTAGAAACTCTCCAAACCTAGGGCTGATGACTGATAGGACAAACAATTGGGCCTTTATGTTGCAGAAAATGGCACAGACTAGTCTCGTGGGTCCTGACTGGGGACTGTATATTTGTGAAATTGCAGTCTGAAACTCAAAGACAGAAACACAGATGAGATTTGAAAAAAGTACTGTGTGTAGAGACAACTGTCGATTGTTATTTGTAACAGTGTTTGCTTTAGGTTTCCTCTTTGACGTTTCTCCTCTTGATCAGCAATTTAAGTCTCTTGTAGTTGCAGCCTTTCAGACCATTCTTGACTTTTAGTGGGCAATGAGAACAAATGCATACGTGCAATTAAATTTCCTTCCAACTATTCATTACAGCTGCGTCCCTGTATTGAACTTTTTCTTCTCAACTGACCAAAAGCAAGCTAAGTTCAAATGATAGAAGTTTGTGCAGGTTTGATGGTCACCTCTAAAGAAACGCCTCCAGAGGCTTCTTTAGCCACCCCCTCACTAGTGGATCTCAGTCACTATTACTCATGTCCCAGTACTTTTGATACATGTACAAAGAATGTGCCATTTGGGTGGCTGAAGGATTCATAGTACCAAATTTGTTTCTTATGGCACTCCATACCAAAAATGTAATAAAGATCAACTCAATGGGTTGCGAATTGTAAGGGTAGCAGCCATGAAAATGTTTTGAGTGCAGCAGCATTAATTCCTAAGTGCTTACTTACTACCATCTTTACTACCACGAGGGTAAGCCATCCAATGAAAGCTGATCATTTGTGGCCATCCCGATGAAGGGGACAACGAAGGGGTGTTCAGTTTTAGAGGTGGGAGTTTTGTACGAAAATCCTGGATACACATATCTAGGGAAAATCCAGGGAATCTGGTAGGGAGTGAAAACCCAATTCACACAAAAACCTCAGTGGGATTTGAACCCGGGCCGCAGGGGTGGAAGGAGGGGAAAGAGCTACTATGCTAACCTGACTCCCCTTTTTGAACAGTCATTCCTCAGTGTAATTGTTTTTTTTTAGAAAGTTCCTTTGTGAATGATATGGCAGCATCTCAAATCATATCTGAAATACAAATGTTTTCTCTCTCTATCTCTGTTGCTCAGGATTATTACATTAACGTAATGAAGAGTGAGTTCGTCTCAGAGCAACAGCGAGTCAACAACCTCTTTGCCAGTGCTGCTAGACGAGGAATTCAGGTGGAGAAAAGGTACACAGAATAGTGCCAGGGTAGGAGTTGAACAGCAAAGGAATCTCAACTTAGTTCCTAAATTCCAAGTCATCAGTCAGTGTGTTCAAGGTTTTTCCGACTGAAACCAGGAATTTCAGTTTGCTGAATTATCGTTTAAGCACAAACGTATGTCCAGTTGTTCTGTGGCCGTTTGCAAAATCATCTGAAATTTGTTTCTAATAACATATTTCTGACATCCTATTCTAGCCAAGCTATTTTGAAATTCCTCCAGTTTAAAGATGCATAAGTTGATGTGACACATTTTGTTACTTGTCTCGCCCTGTTCTTGAGTTGACGTGTTTCAAATCTCTTCTGTCCCGAGTGGGACCAAGAAAGGGTGCAATTTCCTTAGCAACAGTGGCTCCTTTGCTGGGAACTGCGTTTCCCCGGTTCATGAATACCTCATCATTTGTTTAATGCATGTTATACCAGAGGATGCACATACTGTACCCAATTCCTTTTCATGTGCCCGTTTGTGAACAACCATATGACAGAAAGCAGGCTTTAAGATGGGCCATTACATAGGCCGTGTCCAAAATGGGCTTCCAAAGCTATGGCCGTGTCTATTATCAGCATGTCTCTGCTTTTCTTTAGCTCTAGACAAGGAGTCAAATGCAGCCGTTGAAGACTTCCTACCACCTGCTGAAGGCAGATATTTCTGCATAAATGTGGAGCTGTATTCTGAAAAAGTTTTCTCCTGGCCCATTCCGTCTCACAGTCTGAACTGAATTTTGGTGCTCATGGTCTGAGAGTGAACAATCAATCTTTTTTTTTTTTGCTTCTTGCTTGGCAGGTCTGTGACCATTGCAGAGATAGAACACCACTTGTGTGGCCAAAATCCTGCCATAGTGCTGGTGGATAACACGATACTGCAGTGTGAATGGTGTAGGTCTGAAAGCAATTGGCAAAAGGTACGACAAACTTGACACAAACGGGGCAGGAGAGGAGGTGGAAGGTGAAATACTCGTCTGGATTTTTAGAACCTGCAGTTGGATAATGCCGTCACTGATAGTACGTTTTTTCCACACATAGAAAAAAATGTTAGTAAATACATGTATCACTATTGGTGTCCTGCATATACGCACAGGATGAGCGTGCCATAATTTATGAATTTGTAATAGAATGCCCTCACATACACACTACATGTATACTTTGATTTATTTTTCTTCAGACTGAACCCATGACTGTATCATGTTTTTCTCACATCAATTGTTTCAGGGATGTGGCGATTGCTTCCCACTTTCGCACTCACGCAAGGGAGGCAGTTTTGTCGGTAAGATTAAAAATACCTAAATTTGAATCCATTTGCACAGTTTTCAATTTTTTATGACATAAAAAAAAATTTTAAAAGGGGTGGATAAATATATAAATTGATTTCAACAATACCCGCAACTGTTGAAAAGTTGTTAAAACCTTTCAAAGCCTTGTTGCTTCAGTAACAATAAGCCAGTTTTCTGTATTGGAATGAGGCAGTCATCTGGCATAAAACACTTGCTATCATGCCGGCTTGAACATGCTCTGTTGCAAAAGTTGGCATACAGGACAGCTTTTTCCAAAAAGCTTTGAAAAGGAAAGATGCTGCATTTTGGTGTCACACTGTAGACACAAACACACTACACTGTGTCCACTCGCTGTGTCCTCACGCTGTGTCCTCACACTGTGTCCTCACACTGTAGTACTTGTGCACTCAGACACCTAATCTAAGTATTTTGTTGTTAGGTCATTTTATCGTGCTGTGTGGCTTCGACAAGACAAAAAATCGTTTTCTTTACCGCAACCCTGGAATTTCACAAGGTAAGAAAAACTGCTTCTGACATCTTAAAGGGTGCATATCAAACTAGGTGCCAAGATGTTAACAACATCAGCGACAACAGGGGTCCGGAATCAGTCGACGAAGGTTCAGTTGTTTTATTCAGAGGTCTCGGTGACACAAACAGAAATGGTTTGGGCAATGAAAAGGGATCTCAGACCTCATGCCAGACTGGGGGGCTAAAAATAGCCCAAGAAGAGCAGAGCATGAATAAGGGAACTGAGGCTTTTTGCCAAGGTAATGGCATCAGTTGTACCAGAGTGTGGACTTGTTTCAAGCCCAGCCCACTTTAATTGCTAAGTGATTGAATTCCTTGTTAGTGTCTTAGTTTCTTTTTTTTTTTAAATTGAAAAGGTATTCAAGCCTAGTTTTATTGTCCTTTTTGCTTTTCAATTTCAGAGCTGTGTTGCTGTTCTTTCTCCAATTTGGACGAGGCAAGACAGTCTCATGGGACAGACGAGGACATTCTCTTCATATACAGATGAATGAGGCTAAATAACAGATTGGGAAAATACCTTTTGTAAAAAAAATCTATTTGTCATACTTGTTCTTTAAAATGGGAGTGAGTTATTGTGGGTTCCTTGGGTTGACATTAAACTAACAAGCATTACCCACATTTAACATAACGATCAAAGCTTCAAATAATATCGAGGATCTGGTCAGGTTTTGGGGAGCCAGTCTTTAGTACAAACAGCACAAAGCACGAATGAACTCCCTGAATTTTGGGCAGGGATTTCATTGACACATGCCATTTGGACTGTGACAAAAAAAGGAGGAAATTCAGAACTTTACAAGACTTTGTGAAGTGTTTTTCAATTTTCAGAAGCGTGAGTGTGAATTTTTAAAAAAATGAGAAAATCAGCTGATCCGAGAAAAAGTTGCATGCCTGCATGAAAGTTTTATTCTCTGTGGAAATTATCAGACTAATAAAACTGAGTATTTTAATCTTTACTGAAGAACAATTAGACGGAGAAACTGATTTTAATCATGTGTAAGTTATACAGTTGAATGATAGAATGATATATTCTGTATTTGATGGAACAAATTGAATTATATTTCTTGGAGCTTTATCACGAATTGTCTGAAATGTGTTGAGCGATGGAACTTTGCCTTGTCAGTAAATGTAAAAAAAGAAAAGAAAGGCAAATGTGATTTGCTTCCATGAAACTGCCGTATCTTTGAAGTAATAAAGGAAATTATTGGTGACTAAGATCACTTTTTTTATATCCTTGCTTTATTTTTAGCATCAATGAATGGCTGAAGATTTTCAATTGGCACTCTGAAGTTTTTGTTCTGTCTGTTCATCACTGTAGTGAATTTCTGTCAAGAGTTACAATTTCAGCTGTCGTTAACTTGTTCAGCTAGGTACAAATATACGTTCAGTCTTGTCATTTGATCAATTTAACTGTGCATGCCACTTGCTGCCGAAAAGCTCTTTAGGAATTAGTTCTCTGGCATCAAATTATTTATTTTATTTTGCATTCTGCCACTGATTTCATTCCAAGCTTCAGCCAAAATCATGATTTACATTGTGCATGTACAGGCATAATACTTGCAGTTCTGACCAGTGGGCATTTGACTAAATTTTAGGAGTTTTAGGAGCGATAAACTGTTCTGCAGTTACTAATCTGTTGATACATTAAGGAAAGCTTTAAAAAATGCCAGTAGCGAGATTTGAACCTGCGACCCTTGGGATATCATTTGACAATGAGTGCACAAAAGTTGATCCTGAGTGCTGATTAACATCAAGGTTTGTAAGAGTGTTACTGTCTCCATGGTATGCAGATTTGTGGCTTCTGATTGGCACTCCCAACATGAGGCTGGCTAGATCAGTTGGTAGAGCATCCACACGGTGTTCTGGAGGTTGCAGGTTCAAAACCCCCTCTAGTCATTTATTATAATTTTTGCAATTACTATGAAAGCACCTTGTCAGTTTCCCTGTACGGCTTACTGGACAGTTTCTCCACATATATATGACCCACTCTTCAAAAAAGGCCCTTAAGTCATGCTGTGCGTCTCTATGTAACCGACCATTCCGTACATCTGCCAGAGATCAAGTCTAAATTTTACTGTATCTCAGGAATAGAATGTGCCAGGTCAAAAATACACAAGTTTAATCCTTAATTAAATGCCTCTCTATCTGTGGGCATCACTTAAAATCACTTTGTCACGCCTAAGCCCAAGGGCCATTTTTGAAAAGCCAGTCACATATGTATTGCTGCCTTTTGCCACATTTTCATATTTTTTGATTAAAATATATGTGCCAATTATGCAAACCTCTCTCAGTGAGCTTATCCGTTATCCCCATTCAAGAAAATGGAACTGATCTGGTATCACCTTTGGTCACTGAAAGGAGATTTGAAAAAAATATGCTACGAAAATTTATAGCCATATTTAATAGCCAGACAACTGTTTGCCTGGAAACCGTTTTTATCATTACTGTTTTGCACCACCGAGTTAGTGCAAATTTTACTTGTGGCTCCTGAATTGTAAGTTGATCATGTACAATAGTCTGACTAGTACTCAGTTATTCAGATGTTAAAATCTGGCTTATAACCAGTAGCTTATTAGATTAGCATCCTACAATTTCAAGTTGGATGAAGAGTTCTTACTTGCAAGGGAAAGGTGACTGTTGTACAGTGCCTTGACCAGAGCGGCAGGATTCCTGCTTGACTGAAAATGACTTGGCAATAGCATCAGACAATGCATACACTGCTGAAGCTGGTTGCCAACCTGATTCTAGCCAATCAGAGGGCTCCTCTCTCAGGTCTCTGACAATATTGGGACATGACCTTTTGATATTTTCTTGACTTTGGGATTGGTCATTGTATCTTGCAATAATAATATCCGTAGCACCATAATCTAGAAGAGCATCATTTTTATAGTGCCAACTCTGCATTTCTCTACAAAAGTCTCTAGCCACTTTTCGAACATACCCAGGAAACATTCTCAGAGTGTGTGCGGATTGTGCAAAATGAAGGTTGTTTTATTTGTGTGCGTGGGTGATGCAGACTGGCCGCTAGTTGATGAGGTCATTCCTTTTGGCTTCAGCAAATATCAATGATGTTCTGCTGAAAATGAGTCGAAGCTAATGCAAGAAGGCACACAGAAATTGCTGCGCTACGTTTGCAGCCCCTTGCAGGTTTGGCACGGATACTGTATACGCCATTCACTTTACTACCTTCGCAATTGCACCAACTCCCACCACACACCAGTACCTGTGGACTCACTTGCTGTTCTGTCCCGACCCGGTCCTATCTGATTTTTGCAAGTGCAGTGGCCCGCCTGTCCGTGTTCTGGAAGATCGCTCGCATCAGGCTCTTCACTTCACTGGCGCTGAATGCCAATGCAAGTGGACCCTGGAGGAGTAAAGAGAGACCATGTCAAGTTTAATTGGATCGGGATTTAAATTTGACACCTCTGATTTCAGGCACAGAATCTTGATGAGCGCAGAAATGCTTTACTTGACACAAGCAGGTTGCTGGCCAAATTGTGTGACATGTTTTTGTTTTCAGTTCCCCTTGACTGACCGTCATCTTGTATCAATCACTTCCAGAGAAGCCAAAACATGACACGATTTTTATCATGCCATATTTTGACCATATCAATATGGTCCTTGAAACACTTCACAGGGTTCATTCACCCGGGTCATTTAACATTTCGCTGGTTCATTCACAAAGTCCTCATCACTGACCATCAGTCAATGGCACAGAACGTAAGTATATCCAGCAACTTAACATGGCTATTTTGAGCATTAATGTCAGTTGTGCCAGTATGGGCCCCAGTTCTTGGACCCAGAACTTCAGAGTTTACCGACCAAGCCATCCCATACAGTGACTGGTAACCATCCGTGGTACGGGGCACCGGCCAAATGCCTTTTCTCAGTAAAGTTCGGGAGGTTTGAATTGAATACAGACACTATTTCTTACCTTACCCTCGGCCCATCTATCGACAATATCTTGCATGCTGGCATCTAACACAAACAGCAACTCACTGAATGATGTCCATTGGTCCACAGTACTTTGCACAAGAACTGGCTCCTATGCGGCAAAATCAAAATTGCAAAAGACCTTTTATCTGCCACAAGACAAAGCACTGTTGCAAATGTCTGAGCCAATGTGTCGGGAAATTGTTCATAGGCAAAACAAAATCTGATAACGATGTAATATCAAATTGTTACCGTTCAACACAAATATAACGTGCCAATCACCAGGGGCCCATTTTACGGAGTAAACTATGATCATGCATTTGTGAATTTTCTATTCGCAGAAAAATGCTTGTTTCACACACACACATACCCCCACACGTACTGTACATACCTAGTGTGGATATTCCTTTCTTTTCGTGCAGTTAAGAAAACTCAGTGTAAATACTCATTTTTCTTGAACTGGGAACACGATTCTCAGCTAGCTTTTTGTACAAGGCTTCCTTGACTATTTCTCTTCCTTTTACAACAGATGACCCCTACAACCTATTTAGACCACAAGTTTGTATCAAAAAGCTGTGGATTCAGGAGTATCTACCTCAACTTCTCCTGGCTTGATCAAGTGCGGAATGTTCTCCTGCAGTCCTGACAGTAATGAATATAACTGCTGTGCATCATCGGCAGATATATCCTGTACAAACAGTTGGGAGAAAACAGCATTCTCAAAGAAATGTAGAACAATCTTGGCGATTAGCAAAGTTCATTCGTGAATGCGACTAGGATTTGAACTCATGGTGTTGAGTTTGGTTGACAACTTCGCGATGAATATGGAAATATCCTACAATTTACCGGATACTAAAAATTGGGAAATACAATGGGCTGGGCCCACATTTTTGCTGAGCAAAGGGTGCAGATTTGCATGGACAACGTCGGGATGAAAATGTCTGATAAAAATTTGATAATAAAGTTGGGTGAGCTCTTCTGTACACATATTGTAACTCTGCATCCATGCATCTTTGCTCACACTGGACTATTACTCTAACTTGGCCGCATGGTCACTTTGACAGAACGATATCATTCCTGACTTTTTTCAAATTCATTACAAAAATCAGCGGAAGTGCAGTGGTTGAGGGTTAAAGGGTGTGATGCCATGACTATTTCCTTTGCATATGCCCCCGGTATCTTCCCTACCTCCCCTACCTCCATTAGGAGACTGCAGGACATTGAGGTAAATCTGGTTTTCTGGGGGGGGGTGGAAAAATGACTTGAGGGATATTCTCACCTCAAGTGAAGTCACTTTCTCAACAATGTGCTTCAGCACCGTGTTGGTCAGGGTGGACATGGCCTTGGTGTAGACGTTGCTGGGGAGGATGTCTGTCCACACTCGCTGGAGGTGACCCAACTGGTGTAAAACCTTCACAAAGATAGGGGTGAACCAAAAAACGATGGGTGGCTTATCTTTGTCAGTGACATGATTCCAGTGGATTCCAACTGATGTACATGTACGGGAGTGTGTACATACTTCATGCAGATGCCAAGCAAATTTGACTTCGTGCAAAATCATTTACATACACAACGTTCATGGAACGGATTGAAACCAATGCAAAAGAGAGAGTTTGATCATGCAGAATCAAACAATCGGAGGGCAGCAGTATCAACAGAAAAATATTTTTCTCCTTTTTTTACTTAATATTGCACTCATTTGACCTATACTTTAGAACATGAATAGGCCACTGAGGATGGACACTAGAATTTTACTCCCCTGTGTTTTATCAGTAATTGATCTGAATCTAGGGAAAGAAAAAAATCCACGTTTTCTACAACATGGAATCCTGGATGTCTGTCAGACTTACCTGTTTGATGGCCCTCTCACTTCCAACAAAGTTGTCATCTGTTGCTACTTGGTCAAAGCCCTCGGCTCCAACTAAACTCTCCAGTAACTGGTCTCGTTGAGTTCTCTATATTAACACACACAGGAGGAACAAGCTTGTAAAGCTGCGGTAGTTGCTTGGAGAGCCAATTCCTGACGAAAAAAGGTGGATGCCTGAATCTCCTTTTTGAAAGGTACGGAAAAAAATCTTTGCAGATTCTCTCTTTCTAATCTTTTACAAGGGGAGTATCTTTGGTTAAACAATTTCAACAATTACAAAAACTCCCCAAGAAATCAGCTTCACATCTAAATAATATTTTGCTTCCTGTTCAGTCTGGTGTCCATCTGTATCGCAACAAATGTTAAACCAAAGTCTTGTGCATTACCATTTGGGCCAAGAAACACTGGGAAGCCAACTTCCTGAAGACTGGGATCAGGTCGACAAACGTGGACAGGCCGTCACGGAGCGGAGGGGGTAAGGACTGACGGTACTGGTGACCTAGCGTCAAGAGATGATGGGCAATGTACATGCAGTTGTTGTGGTGTAACGCACACAACTGAGGAAGCTTCTCCTGTTTCACAACACAGGAAAAGTCGAAATCGTACATTAGTGTGGACGCTGACAATTTCAGGAGGAAGTTCAAGTTCAAGACTAGATTACTGCACAACAAATGCAAGATGCAGGCATGCAGCCAGAAATTCAGGGGAAAAATGAGGAATTCCGAACTGCACAAGATTTTGTACAGTTGTATATATACACACATGTATATAGCAGTAAAAAACAGTGGAAATCAGCTGATCTGAGGGAAAAGCTGCATGGCTGAAGATGGGAAACAATATACGTGAATTTCTGCCGAGTGAAAACATTCACAGCAAAATGACCATTTTTCTCGGAAAGCATCTAACTGGGATAATCAAAGCCGCAGTGTCTTCCATGGCTTTGGAAGCAGCTGTTTTCAGATGGACCATTTAGCCCTGGAATGCAAGCCTCTCTGAGGTCATCTTCTTGCGTCATTAGATAAATGCAGAGTCACTATGAACACGTCTGAAGGAATCAATTACCTTCTTGGCAATCCACTCAAAGCACAAGCCAACGCGATACGTCGTGGCCTAGTCTAAGCCATATACATGCACATACTGCAGAACGGCAAGCGCTAAAACATAACACTCAATTTCTGTGTCCGAATGACAGAAGGCACTATTCCTTGTGCGTTTACGTCAATCGTATAAAAAAAACAGGTTCGTCATTCATTACCTGTCCTTTTATTTTGCCAGACTCTTGTAACTTCCCAAATTCTGGTTTCAACAATTTAAAAGTCGAGACATCCACTCACCAGACTATCTCTGTGGTACGTGGGCACGACATCGCAAAATATCTCAAACATGTTTCGGACTGTGTAGAAAAGCTGGATGGCACTGCGAACGGAAGAAAGCAGTCGACTGTGAGTGGCCTAGGCCCTATGAGGGTCACTTATGTCTCAGGTTCGTCTGATGAAAAAGGAATCCTTGAACCCTTCTGAAATCGTATTGGTCGTTATGCTGGCTGCCCTGTAGTCGCATTCATGATTTCTTTTGCACCAAGAAGAAAGCAGTCTTGAGTTAGGCCGTGTCCGAAACGGGCTTTCAGAGCTAAGGCTAGGTCTACTGACTGAGCGTCTCCACACATTTCCAATGGAGTGAACACCTAGACCTAGCTCTAGACAACAGATTCGGATGCAGCCTTAGTATCTGATCTCTTAAAAGTGTAAGATAACTGTTTCTGTGTCTATTTTGCAACCAATATGTAATATGCGTTTAAACAGGCAGTCCTGGAGAGAGTGCAAAATGAATAAAATAAATTGTCATAAATATTTGTGGGGAAAGAATATCAGATAAATCAGTACATAACACCCCCCCCAATTAAAAATTTAGGGTTTTTTGCAAGTGAAGCGGACAGGCTTTGCGAGAATGATTCCAGCTTACCACTGCGGCGTATTGCTGGCAGCTTCTTGTAGAGTCTGGTAGGCAAGATTGACCAAACACTCCACACTCTCACTGACTGCACACTCCGGCAGCGCAAATATACCCTCGCTGACATGATTCTTTTCCTGAAAGCACAGATGAAATACCAGGACGGTCTTCAAGATGTTATCCTATGCAGCAAGTTCCAATTTGAGCAATGTGAGACAAATATTTAAGTGAAAAAAAAAGCAGTTTGGTCATGCTGAGTAAATAAACCAAACTATATCCAACCTTTGTATCTTCTTTGTGACCTTTAACCTTGTTCTCAGCTACTGTACTGGAGCCGACCCTCTTTGTGTTGTGGAGCTCTCTCTTCATCAGCTTGCGGGCTTCCACTATCAACTCCTGACACTATAAGAAAGTAACAAAACAAACCAACAAACTGAAACACAGATGTGAAAATGGATCATGAATTGCTTGGTATTCAAAGGCTACCGGAGATAGGTCATCTCCTGACATTGCCAAACAGATCTAGGCTGGGGCGACAGCACAGCAAAATGCTACTGGTGTCTTACGAGCTTGACACCCATGTAAACATGTTACAGATGTGCAAATCTGCTCACATGAACTTTGTGCCAGATGAATATGGCATTTTGCCTCAAGGGCAATGGTGTAACTGAGGGGGGGGGATCATGGGAGACAACAGTGGTGTAGCTAAGGGAGGGGAATGGTTTAACTATAAGAGGGGGAATAAGTCCCCTTGGGAGAACGGTTTATAACTGATAGAGCAAAATAAAAATATAAAGCCAAAATACCCTGAAATACATCATCCAAGAGATCTTCCCACATTGCAGAAATAAAATAATTTAAAACAAGGGAATCCGATTCACCTTTTTGTTTGCAAAATGGACGTTGACATCCCTGGCGTAGGTCAGCAGTGGTGAAGCAGTTTCTGTGATAAACCCTGAAGACAAAAACAGTTCATATTTTACCAAATTATGTGGCGTCCAAGTAGTAGTCCTTTTTTTTTAAATGAAAGGCTGTGTTAGTTATATTTGTGTTCAACTCATGATCATGACCTCGCATATTCATTCAACTTGAAAGCAAATGTAACTCAAGAAGACATCACATTTTGGTAGCGGCAGTGCTGCAAGCAATGACCAAGTTTCTTTGGACTGAACCTTGGCTAACCTGTTTTCCGCAGTGAAGCTTCAAATGCCTCGGTTGCTGTGATGACACTTTTGTACTCATTCAGCTGATATGATAGACATAATATATAAATACAAACAATGAGTTACTTTCAACACAATGACTTTTTGAATACACGTATAAATTAAAACCTCTCAAACACGGTAAACAAACCAAATGGAAAATATATTAAATTCATACATTTTGAGATCATTTTCTAGAAATCCCATTTTGATATCACTGCTTAGAACCACTGGCTTAGACAATTTGTGTCTCATTTCAAAATATTATATTGGTGCAAGTTTCATGTTTACAAGAAGCATTTTTATCAAACCTTTAATATTGTACGCAAAAAAAAGATCAGACTACCTTTGAGGTGCTTGTTGGTATGGAGTGAACCAGACAGTTTGTGATGATACACTTTGACAGCTTGGACCAAACAAGCTCTCCTATAACACAAAACAACCATCTTGCTGAAAATTTACAATATTTTCCAGCAACAGGAACTCACAGAAACATAGTTAAATCCAGATAGACTAAGAATAAGCTGCTTCATACATTAAAAAAAATTAGAACCCAAAAATTAATACCATGTGCCAATTTTATGTGTTTCCCTTTTTCCTTGTCTCTGATTCCTCTGACAAATTATTCTGTACCTTCTCAACAAACCACTCAACTTCTTCTTTTTCCAGCAGTGATTTCTCAGAGTAAGCCACATATACCTACCCAAGGTTACACTGAAAGGTATTTCAATGGCAAATACAATGAACCCAAGGTTACATCAAAAGGTATTTCAATGGCAAACACAATGAACCCAAGGTTACATCACAA